TTCTTTTCTTCCTTTCCTTTTGACTTTGAGGACTTGAAACCGGACTTGAGGGCAATGGCGCATGAACACCGTGAGATCACAGTCGGATGGGTCTACCGCGATTCCCTGCGCGCAAGTTCTTATCCAGGAACGCGAAGGCAATGGTGTAAGGACGCGGCGGACTCACAGTCGGCCGAGTCCACTGCGACTCCCTGCGCGCGAGCGCCAGTGGTCCATAGAACGGCCGCTGCGAGGAGCCATGCTGCCGCCAGCAGCGGGCTTGGCGACGCGACGACATCCGACGCGACGCTGCGATTTCGCGATGAGCGTCGCTGTGGTCGCATTGCGCGTGCGACGACTAGATGCGAAGGCTACGCGGGTGCAACGACAAACTAACGGCAGGGAGCAATCTAGCGGCTACGCGAGACTCTCAGAGCTCCTGACCAAAGCAGTGTTGATTAGGACACCATTCGATACAAGACTACTTCCTGAGGAAACATGTGTCAGTTTTATGACGTAGGAGCGAACAAGCTCATAGTGGAGACATGTCTCGGCAAAAACAAGCTTCCAGAATGGTGATAGGAAAGCGGTTTTGGTTTGCAGTGTCTGAATGCACACTTCGCGATGCACACTTAACTAAACGAAGGATTTTCATTAGTGTAATTGGATACAATATCGGATGAGTATTGAGGAGATATTGGGACTGACTGATGACCGAGTGGGAGGGACTGATCCGGAGATCTGAATGAAAATAGCACTGGGAACGGGGCTTAAAGCCGGCGGCCCAAATTGTTCATGCTTTTAAAAGTTGACCAGAGGGAGTTTTTCTGGTGTGGGCTTTGGCGAGAGTTTCCGATTTCGTCTAGGTTCGTTTTTTTCGCGAGACCCAGCCAACCCTCGGTTTTCCCCCTGGTGAGTGAATCTGTCTTCGAAAGTCCCAAATTGCAAGTGCGTGACTTTCAAAAGCTTGGACACTCAACTTCGTCAAGTTTTAAAAACTTGACCCTCGCGGCCCGCAATTTGGGACGCGGGCTTTAACAAATGTGCTGGTAACTCTGACAGTGAAGCAGGAGGTGGTCATGTTGATGTTGACATTCTCCGTCGAGGTTCACCTGCAGGTGGAATGGACTGACGAATGTTCAGCTGCCAGTGGCCACGTTGCAGAAATGCCGGGCATCGTTACAGTGTATAATGGGTTACAACTATACCACAATGAACGCATTACGCGAGCCGTAGATTCTGGTTTTGCACTTCACAGGGTGGATCCATCAGACCTTTCGTGCTGGTGGTTGGTCGCGACCTTGATTGGCCAGGTGCGTGGTTGGGTGGATGTACACGAAATCGCTGGGCAGATGAGAAAGAAGCGGCCGAAACGGGCACGTTCGTGGCGACAAAACTACAGTGTCTCCGTTTCATTCATCGGTTGAAGATATCGCCGTCCCAGAAAGGTTCTGCTGCTTCCTGCCTGCCCGCAGTGTCGGCGTGTCCCGCTTCCACGCGGTGGCAGACGCTGCGGTCAACGTCGCAGTTTCGTTAATTTTCGCCTAATTTTCGCCTCAAGGTGAAAATCAGGGTGATTTCCCGCCTGCCTCCTAAGCCCAATGCACGATGCTCGTCGAAATCGCCAGGAGCGGCAACTGTGATGGTGCCGTTTCCGCCGCTTGTTTGTGCGCAGAACGGGCAGGAGGAAGCTGGAGAAGGTGGATTTAGGAGGGAGGAAACATAACATCATGCTCAACCCCTGCCCGCAAAATTGCCTTGCCCAATTTCGAAAGCCTGCTCCTTTTGCAATCCAGCCGGGCAACTGCACACAGTGCCCCCAATCAATTTTGTATCGCAGCCGTTGGCACACAACTTATCGCGCTGTCATCCGTCCCTTCTTGAGATATTTTGAAAGTGTGTACCAGCATTTCTTCACTTGCCCACTACAGTCCCAATTTTTCCCGGGCGAAGTTGGCGAGGCAGGCGAAAATATTGTGCTCGCTTCATATCAGAAGGTTGCATTGCATGTGTCTAATGAGGCGAAGCAGCTCGGGGCTAGGGCGGCGGATCAGCGCGAGAATAGGGAGGCGAGTGAGGCGAGGGAAGGCGACAGAGGTGATCGATTGAAAGCGAAGTGAGGGAAGGCCAAACCATGGGGAGAACGGGAGGGAGCAACCAGTCTGATACGACGACCAGTGCAGTGCGGTGCTAACGGGTAGGAGTGTGGTGGAGTTCCAGATTCCTTCAATCCCCCTTGCCGTGCCACAGCCCTTGCGGTGGTCTGCAATGGATTGCAGCGATGTCAACACGTTCGTTACAGTTAATTCTGTGCGGTGACTCTCTGTTACGTCACGGTTTAGAAAGGTGAACAGCTTGATAACCATTGTGCACCATCTGGAATCTTTTTGCAGCACAACGGATGAATTTTACGAATGTGATGGGCGAACGCGCTGACCTCGCCAAGAAGAATGATGTGCACAGAGCGTTGCATTGGGGGTGCTGTTGAACTGTAGTGCAGGAAACGAAAGCAGAAGAGGGTGGTGCTACTGTACTGTACTGTGCAACAATGGTTTCTTGTATGCGTTCTGTCCATCCTGTCCTTCCCAGCCCGTCCTTTTTGGTCGCATCATTACACTGACTTGGTTAGAATGTCATGGGCGGCGGCGTGGACTGCTTAGCAATCGCGAATGGTAGCCACTAGGCTAGCTACTGCCAGGCAGCAGTGTCGTGAATCTGCAGTTTCTGGGGTTACACTTCGGCGCACGCCACGACGAGCTCTTTGCATTCGACTAGCTATATCATGCTCCGTAGGATGTGTTGTCGGCGTGCTTAGAGGAGGCTTGCATTATAACCTTGTCCGTGAAGTTCTTTTGTAGTGAATCGTACAAGCAAGGCCATGGCATCGTGCCGGCGAGAGTTAGGCGTCTTGAATGGCTGGTGATTACTGGTGATAGTCATCGCGTCTGTATCATCACGACAGTTCAAACTGACCCAGAAGCAGTGCAGAAGGCGCAGAGGTAGACGCAGACGCAGACGCAGACCCAGCCGTGAACGCAGCGCGCTGACGTAGACGCAGGCGCAGACGCTGACGTAGACGCAGACGTCGACGTAGGCGTCGACGTAAACGTAGAAGTAGACGTAGTAGACGCAGGCGCAGGCAGACACGCAGCTGCTGCTCCATTGACGCAGTGAAGTCGCCGGCAACGCTTCCAACACCCCGACATGCGAGAACGCCGCACAGCATCCACCATGGCTGGCTTGGCCAGGTCACCAGCATCCGCAGCCGCGATCCTTTCCGCGTTCCTTCTCCTCGCGGCGTCTATACCGCGCGCCGTGGCTCCGCCGACCGCTATGTCGACAGCTGATAGTGAGCTCGAATCTCATGTTTGAGTCGAATCCCATGTAGGCTTGGAGTGACCGGCGTGAGCCACCTATCGGAGTGGCTCCTAGAATTGCCTTGTGGCTGTTGCCCACTTTTTTGGAGTCGACTACAGATTGTGAGAGCTCGCGTTCCATGTGTCAGTCGAGTGCAAGCTCAGAATGACTATTTAAGGTCGCGGTCCCTCGCCCACTTCAATCGCGCGCCGATGAAAATCCACTGATTTCATCGGGTGTCTGCTTTCTGTTTTCCATTTTGCGTTCTTTATAGAAAAGACTCTCCCGGTTTTGAGATTTCACCGCTTTCATGCGCTCCGCATCCTCGAGTTTTGAGACATGTCAGACAATTGAGAAACTTCGGCGCTTTAATGGGTGTGTCATCTACCAGTGCTTCTGAGACGCGTCTCAGAAGTCCTGCTTGCACCTTGCACTGGGCTGCGCATCGTCGGATCTTGAGCGTCTCGAAACGCATGGGGAAGATTACCGCGTTCGAATCACTTTTTAGAATTCTCAAAAGTGATTTCAACGCATGGAAAAGACTACCGCTTTCATGTGTGTTGCTTACTAGATAATGATTGCAGTCATCTAGATAGTACTTCACTCGCGCTTGAGCTTTTTTTTTCTCTCTCTCTCTCTCTCAAGTATCTTTGTACGCTGCTGCGCGTCATCCCTGTGCCTTCCTCTTCCCGCCGTCGTAGACACTTTTTGAAAACCCTAGAAACCGACGAATGTCTCGTGTGCCGTCTCCGTCCTTATCACTCGCAGTCGTCTAGTTATTTCTGTTTCGACTCCCCTCATATCTCGACCTCCCACTGCCCATTACCATCCGATCCCCCCTTTCCTGGCTCCGCATATCACCTATTCCCATCACCCAGCTTTCCTCTTCAAGATCGATTGCTCAGGCAATTTTTTCTTTTTTTTTAGTTATGATATGAAGCCGTTGTTAGGAGAATTATGTCGACTCTCTAGAGTCAACTGTACGCACTACGCGCTGTTCCCGTTTCCCGCTACAGTGGACGCGCTGCTCGCAATAAAGCCGGTTCTGGGCGTGACGCTAACGTCTTGGCGATCCTCGTCGTCCCAATGCACGCCGGTTGGACAGACGAAGTCGGGCAATGAGTGGGATGCGGTGCAGTGCGATGCATCCGGAAACGTCGCTTGGCTGTGAGTGTAACGAACGGGGGGTAGATTCGCAGCAGTCCTTACTACCCTGATATATCACGATGAGAGTAAGTTGCCCCAACCTCTTTTCGTGTTCCAACCGCATAGCCTAAGGCAACACAACGGATGTTCATACTCGTTAGTGTATCACCAAAGATTTTCGAGATTGATAACCTTGTCGTATGTCCACGTGTCAGATTATATGCTGCTGTTGATTTATCAAATACATCTGAAATAAATCTGACTGAAGCACACACCTTTAACCGTCGCCCTGTCCCCCTCCCCGCTTCTTCTTCCCTCATCCCGTGGCCCTCCGTCCAGGAACTTTTTCACACAGTCGCTGAAGGGAAGCATGCCAACAGACATAAGCACACTCTCCGCTCTCACCTACATGTGAGGCGCCCCCCCCTTCCCCCCTTTCCTCCGTCCCACCTCCCTCCCCCCAATCCCGCCTCCCCCATTCCCCCCTTCCCTCCCTTGTCCTCATCACACCACCCTTGCCCTCATCACACCACCCTTGCCCTCATCACACCTCCCTTCTCCTCACACAACCGTTGCTTTCACCCTTCCCATACCTTCGCCCTTTGTTCCTCCGACTCCCATGTTTTTTCCGACCCTCATCACACCATTGTTTTCCCCTTGCGTCTGTGTTTTGGGTCCATCCATGCAACCCACACCCTCTCTGCACGTTTCCATCTCACTCACTCTCCGCCTCTCTCACTCACGTGCCATGTCCACTCCCTCCCCGCCCCCCCCCTCCCCCCTCACAGCCATCTGTGCTACAGCCTGCTGCACGCCAGCTTCAGAGAAACCTCACAAGTCCCTCCCCCTCTCCTCCTCCCCCCTCCTCAGCAATCTCTGCTACAACTTTCTGCACGCCACCTTCACACCACCATGGACCGCCACTCTTGAGGCGCTTCAAAAGGCGTGTCCATTCTCCTCTCTCTCCCCCCCTCTCCTCTTCCACAGCAATCTCTGCTACAACTTTCTGCACGCCAGCTTCACACCATTCACGGCTGCTCTCATGCGCATGCCGCAACTCATGGAAATGTGAGTCTTGTAGTTTTCGCCACAACAAGCTTTCTTTCGCCACAACAAGCTTTCTTTCGCCACAACAAGCTTTCTTTCGCGATTTTGTGCAAACTGGTTCAACAGCACCATCCCAACATCCCTCCATCCCAACATCCCTCCATCCTAACATCCCTCATAAGCCCTTCCCCCCCCCCCCCCCCACCCCTTTTCTGCAGGCGACTGTGTTCCAACTGGTTATACGGCACCATCCCAACAGCCATCGTCTCCCTCACACGCCTAACGTACCTGTACGTGCTTCAGGGACCTAAAAGCCCCACTCTCACACACACGCCTAAAGTACCTGTACCATCCCCCCTGTCCGTGCGTTCACCTGTCAAGCCATCGCCCCTGTCCGTGCGTTCCCCTCCTCCTCCTCTTCCCCTCCTCTTCCCCTCCTCTTCCCCTCCTCTTCCCCTCCTCTTCCCCTCCTCTTCCCCTCCTCTTCCCCTCCTCTTCCCCTCCTCTTCCCCTCCTCTTCCCCTCCTCCTCCCCTCCTCCTCCCCTCCTCTTCCCCTCCTCTTCCCCTCCTCTTACCCTCCTCTTCCCCCTCCTCTCCCTCCCCACCCCAGAGGTCTCTCATCCAACTATCTAGTGGGAACGGTCCCAGCACCGCCCCCATCTCTCCAATACATCAACGTCAGGGCCAACTTCCTCACCGGCCCCTTCCCCTCGGGCATTGCAACCACCGTCTGCGTCACCAACTGCTTCACCAGCACCACCCCCGCCTCCTGCCCTCTCTCCACCCAACGACCTGCCGCCGCCTGTGTGTTTTGCGCGGGGGCGGCAGGGGCTACGGGCATGTGTGGGGGGTTTGTGGAGGGGTGCACGGTGGATCCGACTGGGCTGAGCACGCCCAATACCGCCGCGGCTGCGCTGCTCCCGCGGTCCTGCGAGGCTTCCTATATTCTCCCCGCTCAGGGTAAGCTTGGCGGTGTGTTTGGGGGGGAAAGGGGGGAGGTGGGGCCTACAGGAATGGATGTGCAGTGCAGGGGGGTTGTGGTGTGGAGGGGTGCACGCTGGATACTTTTGAGAATTCTCAAAAGGAAAGGGGGGAGGTGGGGCCTACAGGAATGGATGTGCAGTGCAGGGGGGTTGTGGTGTGGAGGGGTGCACGCTGGATACTTTTGAGAATTCTCAAAAGGAAAGGGGGGAGGTGGGGCCTACAGGAATGTATGTGCAGGGGGGTTGTGGAGGGGTGCACGCTGGATACGATACGACAGGGCTGAGCTGAGCGCTCCCAATACCGCCACCGCTGCGCTGCTGCCGCGCTTCTGCGAGGCTGCCTATGTTCTCCCCGCTCAGGGTGAGTATGACTGTGTGTTTGGGGGGGAAGGGGGGCGGCGGGGCCTACGGGAATGTATGTGCAGGGGGCTGAGCTGAGCGCTCCCAATGGGCTCAGTGCTGCGCTGTTGCCCCTGTTCTGCGAGGCCGCGTACATTCTCCCCCCCGCGCAGGGTGAGCCCGACTGCGTGCTTTGGGGGCGTGGGCGGCGCGGCGGGGGTCACGGGGCATGTGCTGTGTGCGGTGGAAGGCTGTGTGCGGTGGAAGGCTGTGTGCGGTGGAAGGCTGTGTGCGGTGGAAGGCTGTGTACGGTGGAAGGCTGTGTGCGGTGGAAGGCTGTGTGCGGTGGAAGGCTGTGTGCGGTGGAAGGCTGTGTGCGGTGGAAGGCTGTGTGCGGTGGAAGGCTGTGTGAGGTGGAAAGGCTGTGTGCGGTGGAAGGCTGTGTGAGGTGGAAAGGCTGTGTGTGGTGGAAGGCTGTGTGAGGTGGAAAGGCTGTGTGCGGTGGAAGGCTGTGTGAGGTGGAAAGGCTGTGTGCGGTGGAAAGGCTGTGTGCGGTGGAAAGGCTGTGTGCGGTGGAAAGGCTGTGTGCGGTGGAAAGGCTGTGTGCGGTGGAAAGGCTGTGTGCGGTGGAAAGGCTGTGTGCCTGATGTGGCTGGGCTGAGCTGCAACAGGGGGCGTGACAGACAGCACGTGGGCGGACACGGGGGAGTGCACGGGGGAGAGTGCACAGCTGTCTTAGACTTCGAGTCAAGCCTCTCCCATCTCATGACTTTACATCCCACCTCACACTCCACCTCCCATGCAGTGTCCATTCTTCTATCGCTCAAGTCGTCGCTGGGAGTGACTGAAATCACATGGGTGGGCACGGGGAAGAAGGCTTCCCAGGCCTCTCATCCTCATCCTCTCACCATCCCCAATCCATCCCGTCCCCATCCAAATCCGATCGTATGCAGTGTCCATCCTGCTGGCGCTCAAGTCGTCGCTGGGAGTGACTGACACCTCATGGACAGGCACGGGGGAGACGGTCGCCCGAAGGATGCCCAGGCCTCTCATTCCCATCCTCTGTCGCTTGCAGTTCATCACTCCCACCATCCCCATTCCATCCCTTTCTATCCCATCCCGTGCCATGCAGTGTCCATTCTTCTATCGCTGAAGTCGTCGCTGGGAGTGACTGACACCACATGATTGGGCACGGGGGAGAGCACGGGGGAGAAGGCTGCCCAGGCCTCTCATCCTCATCACTCTCATCATCCCCAATCCATCCCATCCCGTGTCATGCAGGGTCCATCCTCCTGGCGCTCAAGTCGTCCCTCGGCGTCACAGACACCACGTGGGCGGGCACGGGGCAGTGCACGGGGGAGACGGCTGCTCAGGCGTCTCCCTACTGGGCTGGGGTAAAGTGCTCCGACGCTGGGGCAGTCACAAGCATGTGAGTGGGCTGTAGCAGGCTGTAGCGTGCATGTGAGTGGGCTGGGGCACTGCATCCCACTCATCACTGCATCCCACTCTTCACCGCACTCCACTCCTCCATCTCTCCCCTCCCCGTGTCCTTCCTTTGCTTTGTTGTGCCCCCTCCCCTGCGTCCCTCCCCCTCCCCCCCACTCTCCCCCCTCTACAGCGCTCTCCGCACACAAGGACTCTCTGGATCGCTGCCAACGTCCATCTCCGCACTTTCAGCGCTCACTTCCCTGTACGTACGGCCTTGCCACTCTCTCCCGCATCTCCCTCTTGCCACTCGCCACTCCCGCTTCTCGCTCCTCCTATGCTCACCTCCAGTGGCCCACCAACCAGCCTCATCACCCCACACCTATGTTGCTCTGGGCGTCGTGCGTCCTGCGTCCGGACGCAGCGTCCAAGACGTAGGACGCGGGACGCTCGCCAAGACGCAGGTCTCTTTGCAAGTTTTATTCGAGCTGACCGGAAAAAACAAATTGGCCCAGCGCGAAATTGACATTCGCGATCCCGACGCGACTGTCAATTTCGCGTCATGTCGACCCCCCCTAACCCATTTCGACCATCAAAAACACCCTAGTGGGTTTACCAACACAATTCTCCTTCGTAAACCTTAAACCCTAAAAAATGAAGGGGACAGTTTTGCCTCAAATGTGTGCAACGTCGTCCTCCCCCCCCCCCCACCCACCCCCCCCCCCCCCTCCCCCCCCTTCCCTTCCCATGCCCTATAACATGGTTTTTTGCTACCCGGGCGTTTTTTTTGCCCTGCCCGGGCATGCGTCTTTTTCAGCGTCTCACAGGCCCCCATGAAGCGTCCTGCGTCTAGGACGCTGCGTCTGGACGCCAGCGTCCAAGACGCAGGACGCGTCTTTTGCAGCATAGCCCCACACCCACTCTCTTTTTTGCCGCTTCCCTCAGGAAACGACCATTCCATTCCCTTCCTTTCCTGCCCTCTTTTTTTCCCCCCTCCACGCAGCGACCTGAGCTCCAATCTCTTCAACCAGCAGCTGGACGACGGCTTTCTCTCTTCGAGACGCCTCTGATATCCCCATCTCACCCTTCCTTCCCTCCCCTCTTCCTTTCCCCACCACACACACAGCGACCTGAGCTCCAACCTCTTCAACCAGCAGCTGGACGGCTTTCTCTCCGACCTATACTTGCTCACTCAGCTCAAGCAACTGTACGTCTCATTTCTTGAAAGTTGACTGGGAGCCGATTTTTGAGACATCTAAGTAAGACGTATCCTTGGGAAATCTCAAAAGCTCTCTCCCCGACGTGTTCTTGCTCACTCAACTCAACTCAAGCAGCTGTGCATCTCATCTCTTGAAAGTTGAAATCTGAATCCTTGGGGATTCTGAAATGCGTTCTCTCCGACTTGATCTTGCTCACTCAACTCAAGCAGCTGTACGTCTCATCCCGTAAAGCAGACATTTGTCACGAGTAGCATCTTACTCACCCCGAACCGATCCCACGTGTTCTTTCGCCCTTCTCCCTGACCCTTGCATGCAGGCTTCTCGGATACAACTGGTTCTATGGCTCAGTCCCCACCACTATTTCTCAGCTCTCCAAACTAACCGGATTGTGAGTCATGTCGTTCTCACTATCCCGCTTCTTGCGTCAACTAGAATATGAGTTACGTCACGCATGCTATGCTGCTTCTCTCCCCTTCCACCAACTACCTTTTAGAACCGCCGCACTGACCTCTGCTCCCTCTCACCGCTCCCCTTTCCTCCTCCACCACCCCCCACCACCCTCCACCAGGTCCGTCTTCTCCAACTACCTCACCGGATCGCTCCCCGCTCTCCCGTCCTCCCTCCGTGCCCTCGACATAGCCTACAACTTCCTCTCCGGCTCGCTCCCCACCCTCCCCTCCACCCTCTCCCACTGCGCCGCCGAACACAACTGTCTGGTCCCCGCCGCCGCGGCTCCCTGCGCTCGCTTCGGCTCCACCCAGCGCCCTGCCGCAGTGGTGGGAGCAGCAGCAGCGACGGCAACAGAGCGGTGTGCGGTGTGCGGGATGGGGACTGCAACGGAAGCAAGCGGGTGCTTTGATGGCGATTGTGTGGTGACTGTGGCCCCGGCGGTGGCCCAGGCGGGGCCCAATCGGCCGGCTCAAGCCGTGCAGGATATGCAGTGCTCAGGTGCGTATGCTGTGTCTCTGTGTGTGTGCTCTGTGGAGGGGAAAGAGGGGGGGGGCGGGGGGGGGGGGGCTTGAAACACCTGTTGGGTTGCAGTGTGGAAGGAGAGAGGTGCTGGGATGGGGACTGCTTGGTGTTTGTGGCTCCAGTGGTGGTTCAGGCGGGGTTAGTGGTGGTTCAGGCGGGGTTAAACAGGCCATCTCAAGCTGTGCTGGATCTGCAGCGTGCGTGCGTGCGTGCGTGCGTGCGTGCGTGTGTGTATGTGTGCTGTGTGTGCTGAAAGTGGGTGTGTGTTCAAATTGGATGTGCGCTCAAGTGAATCCTCTAAGTGTGACTCTCTTTTCTCTTTGCTCCGCTCTTTCTTTTTCTCATGCTCGTTTTCGTCTGTGCAACTCGCTGTCCGTCCTGCCTTCTCTCCATCCATCCTCATGCTCTGTAAGCATGGCATGTATGTAAGCGTGGCATGTATGTAAGCATGGCATGTATGTAAGCGTGGCATGTATGTAAGCATGGCATGTATGTAAGCATGGCATGTATGTAAGCATGGCATGTATGTAAGCATGGCATATATGTAAGCATGGCATGTATGTAAGCATGGCATGTATGTAAGCATGTCATGTATGTAAGCATGGCATGTATGTAAGCATGTCATGTATGTAAGCATGTCATGTATGTAAGCATGGCATGTATGTAAGCATGTCATGTATGTAAGCATGTCATGTATGTAAGCATGTCATGTATGTAAGCATGTCATGTATGTACGCATGGCATGTATGTAAGCATGTCATGTATGTACGCATGGCATGTATGTAAGCATGTCATGTATGTAAGCATGTCATGTATGTAAGCATGTCATGTATGTAAGCATGTCATGTATGTAAGCATGTCATGTATGTAAGCATGTCATGTATGTAAGCATGTCATGTATGTAAGCATGTCATGTATGTAAGCATGTCATGTATGTAAGCATGTCATGTATGTAAGCATGTCATGTATGTACGCATGGCATGTATGTAAGCATGTCATGTATGTACGCATGGCATGTATGTAAGCATGTCATGTATGTAAGCATGTCATGTATGTACGCATGGCATGTATGTAAGCATGTCATGTATGTACGCATGGCATGTATGTAAGCATGTCATGTATGTAAGCATGTCATGTATGTAAGCATGTCATGTATGTAAGCATGTCATGTATGTAAGCATGTCATGTATGTAAGCATGTCATGTATGTAAGCATGTCATGTATGTAAGCATGTCATGTATGTACGCATGGCATGTATGTAAGCATGTCATGTATGTACGCATGGCATGTATGTAAGCATGTCATGTATGTAAGCATGTCATGTATGTAAGCATGTCATGTATGTAAGCATGTCATGTATGTAAGCATGTCATGTATGTAAGCATGTCATGTATGTACGCATGGCATGTATGTAAGCATGTCATGTATGTACGCATGGCATGTATGTAAGCATGTCATGTATGTAAGCATGGCATGTATGTAAGCATGGCATGTATGTAAGCATGGCATGTATGTAAGCATGGCATATATGTAAGCATGGCATGTATGTAAGCATGGCATGTATGTAAGCATGTCATGTATGTAAGCATGGCATGTATGTAAGCATGTCATGTATGTAAGCATGTCATGTATGTAAGCATGGCATGTATGTAAGCATGTCATGTATGTAAGCATGTCATGTATGTAAGCATGTCATGTATGTAAGCATGTCATGTATGTACGCATGGCATGTATGTAAGCATGTCATGTATGTACGCATGGCATGTATGTAAGCATGTCATGTATGTAAGCATGTCATGTATGTAAGCATGTCATGTATGTAAGCATGTCATGTATGTAAGCATGTCATGTATGTAAGCATGTCATGTATGTAAGCATGTCATGTATGTAAGCATGTCATGTATGTAAGCATGTCATGTATGTAAGCATGTCATGTATGTAAGCATGTCATGTATGTAAGCATGTCATGTATGTAAGCATGTCATGTATGTAAGCATGTCATGTATGTAAGCATGTCATGTATGTAAGCATGGCATGTATGTAAGCATGTCATGTATGTACGCATGGCATGTATGTACGCATGGCATGTATGTACGCATGGCATGTATGTACGCATGGCATGTATGTAAGCATGTCATGTATGTACGCATGGCATGTATGTAAGCATGTCATGTATGTACGCATGGCATGTATGTACGCATGGCATGTATGTACGCATGGCATGTATGTACGCATGGCATGTATGTAATCATGTCATGTATGTACGCATGGCATGTATGTAAGCATGTCATGTATGTAAGCATGTCATGTATGTAAGCATGTCATGTATGTAAGCATGTCATGTATCATGTCATGTATGTACGCATGGCATGTATGTAAGCATGTCATGTATGTACGCATGGCATGTATGTAAGCATGTCATGTATGTAAGCATGTCATGTATGTAAGCATGTCATGTATGTAAGCATGTCATGTATGTAAGCATGTCATGTATGTACGCATGGCATGTATGTAAGCATGTCATGTATGTACGCATGGCATGTATGTAAGCATGTCATGTATGTAAGCATGTCATGTATGTAAGCATGTCATGTATGTAAGCATGTCATGTATGTAAGCATGGCATGTATGTAAGCATGGCATGTATGTACGCATGGCATGTATGTACGCATGGCATGTATGTACGCATGGCATGTATGTACGCATGGCATGTATGTACGCATGGCATGTATGTACGCATGGCATGTATGTACGCATGGCATGTATGTACGCATGGCATGTATGTACGCATGGCATGTATGTACGCATGGCATGTATGTACGCATGGCATGTATGTAAGCATGTCATGTATGTAAGCATGTCATGTATGTAAGCATGTCATGTATGTAAGCATGTCATGTATGTAAGCATGTCATGTATGTAAGCATGTCATGTATGTAAGCATGTCATGTATGTAAGCATGTCATGTATGTAAGCATGTCATGTATGTACGCATGGCATGTATGTAAGCATGTCATGTATGTACGCATGGCATGTATGTAAGCATGTCATGTATGTAAGCATGTCATGTATGTAAGCATGTCATGTATGTAAGCATGTCATGTATGTAAGCATGGCATGTATGTAAGCATGGCATGTATGTACGCATGGCATGTATGTACGCATGGCATGTATGTACGCATGGCATGTATGTACGCATGGCATGTATGTACGCATGGCATGTATGTACGCATGGCATGTATGTACGCATGGCATGTATGTACGCATGGCATGTATGTACGCATGGCATGTATGTACGCATGGCATGTATGTACGCATGGCATGTATGTACGCATGGCATGTATGTACGCATGGCATGTATGTACGCATGCCGTGTCTCCCTCCTTCACTGATTCATTTTGCTCCACCCCTTGCCCCATCCCCGTCCTTCCACCCCGCTCCCACCCACCCACATCCTTCATTGTGCCCCAAGCAGGCAGCTCACAGACATCGATGGGTGATGCCACAGGTGAGAGGACTGGACAGCTGAGACATGAAATGTGTGAGATGAAACGCACTAGAAATGAAATGTGTGTGAGAAATGAAACGGTTTTCAAAGGGAACCGCATATTGTCCTGCTCTGCTCTCCTCTTCCTCCGTTCATTCCTTTGCTTTCCCAATTCCCTGTAACCCGTCCCTCCCACTCCATTTCCCCACCACCTCCCATTCCCTACAATCCCCCCCGCCCATCTCTCTGCTACCCCCCTCTCTTTCCTTCCCCCCCTCCCCCTCCTCTCCCCCCTTCAGTGACGGCTCTTCTGGCTCTCAAGACCCCGCTGGGAGTGACGGCCATGTCGTGGGGCAGTGGGAACAACACTTGTATATTCCCTTCCCTCTCCTCCTACCCCAACCCCCCTCCCACCCACACCCCCCCCCCCCCCAGTGAACGCTCTTCTATCTCTCAAGAGCGTGTTGGGAGTGAGTGCCATGTCATGGGGCAGTGGGACCAACACATGTATGTTTCCTTTAATCTACCCCCCCCCTCAACCCCTCCTCTTGTCCCCCCAGTGAACGCCCTTTTAGCTCTCAAGACCGCCTTGGGAGTGACGGGCACGGCATGGGGCAGTGGGGCGTGCACGGTGGAGGGATTCTCCTCCGGCTCTGACTGGCTGGGAGTGGCCTGCGACTACCTAGGGAACGTCGTCTCCATGTGAGTTGACTCGCTTGACTTGGTTGACTCGGTTGACTACTTTACTGTCTGGGTTGACTCGGTTGACTACTTCATTGCCTGGGTTGACTCGGTTAACTTCATTGTCTGGGTTGGCTCGGTTGACCTTATTGACTCAGTTGACTCGGTTGAATCGGGCATGCTCAGGAGAGCAGGCACAGGAGGTGGTTCTGTTGCAATTGACATGAATCACCTTTTGTCGCAGCTCCTGTTTGCTCAGGAATTGGCCGTGATTCTTTCTGGATGGGGGTTGCATGCCCCGACATTCAAGGGAACAACAAGCCATGGTGACATGCACCCATGCATGTACCTTCTCTCCCATCCACCCATACCCCATGCTCAGTACCCATGCCCCACACCCCATGCCCCATGCCCCATGCCCCAGGCCCCAGGCCCCATGCCCCATGCCCCATGCCCCATGCCCCATGCCCCATGCCCCATGCCGCATTCTGCACACCTTTCCCAGTGATTCAACGAACCAGAAGCTCAAGGGGTCCATGGCCTCGGATGTCAGCACTCTCACATCGCCCATCCTCGTGCTGCCACTCTCACCATGCCCAAATTCCATGTCCCATGCCCCATGCCCCATGCCCCATGCCCCATGCCGCACGCCCTTCCCAGTGATCTAACGAGCCAGAATCTCAAAGGGTCGATGGCCTCGGATGTCAGCACTCTCACATCGCTCACTCGCCTGTACGTCCCCCCTACAGCATGGCATGCTCTGGGTGCATTGCATGCGATGCCTTACCATGCCATGCCTTTCCATGCCATGCCTTTCCATGCCATGCCTTGCATGCCATGCCTTGCATGCCATGCCTTGCCATGCCATGCCTTACCTTGCCATGCCTTACCATGCCATGCCTTTCCATGCCATGCCTTACCATGCCATGCCTTACCATGCCATGCCTTGCCATGCCATGCCTTTCCATGCCATGCCTTGCCATGCCATGCCTTGCATGCCATGCCTTGCCATGCCATGCCTTACCATGCCATGCCCTACCATGCCATGCCTTGCCATGCCATGCCTTGCATGCCATGCCATGCCATGCCATGCCATGCCGTGCCATGCCGTGCCTTGCCATGCCTTGCCATGCCATGCCATGCCATGCCTTGCCATGCCATGCCATGCCATGCTGTGCCATGCATGCGTGCTCTCTGACAGGCAAACTCCACCATGCACTGCCTCCCTCCTTTGCACCGCACCTGATTTCCTTCTCTCTGATTCTGAAGATGGCATCACCTCGCCCCCGTCTGCCCCACCCTAGCCATGCTCCATCTACCTTTTCTCCCATTCAACTTCCACACCTCTCACTTTTCCCTCCCTCGTCCTTCCCACCACCACTCCCCCCCTCACAACTTATCAGAAACTTCGACAGCAACCTTCGTTTCCCACTTGCCCTCCCCACTCTCCACAACACCCCTCCCCCTTCCCACTCTCCACAACACCCCCCCCCTTCCCACTCTCCACAACACCCCCCCCCCCTCCCCACTCTCCACAACACCCCCCCCCTCCCCACTCTCCACAACGCCCCCATTCCTCACCTCTCCGCAGGACCTTTGACAGCAATCTCTTCTGGACGCCTCTAGCCTCCTTCGTCTCCCACTTGCCTTCCCCCACTCTTCCCAACCGTCCCTCCCCCCCCCCCCCCTCCCTTCCCTCGCCCAACGCCCCCCCCTCCCTTCCCTCGTGCCCCTATCCTCCCCCGCTCTGCAGCACCTTCGACAGCAACCTCTTCTGGACGCCTCTAAGCTCCTTCGTCTCCTACTTCTCCTCCCTCTCCAACCTTGTCGTGCTGTGAGTGCCCCTTCTGTGTCTGCGCTGTGCTGCTCCCTCTTGGGACTGTGAATGCTCTTTAGTATCTGTGTGGTTCTCTCATGGCTACATGTATACTCACAGGACGTATGCATTTCAATCTTCACGCCCACCCACTCAGCCTCCCATCCATCCCACCACCCACTCTGCTGTGATGTGACCGCCAATACAACCTCTATTGCTCCCTGCCCCCCCAGCCTACCCGCCCTCCCCACCTGGCCTTTAAGTCAGCTCAAGAATCCACCCTGCCACCCCACCCTGCCACCCCACCCTGCAGTGACCTCCAATACAACTGGTTCTACTTCTCACTGCCTGCCTACCTGCTCAATCTCCCTTCCATCCTCGCTTCCCTCCCATCTATCCTACCACCTCTTACACCCTGCCACCCCACCCTGCAGTGACCTCCAATACAACTGGTTCTACGGCTCACTGCCCGCCTACCTGCCTACCTGCCCTTGAGGCTTCTCAAAAACGATTTACCTCATCACCCTGCAACCCCACCCTGCAACCCCACCCTGCCACCCCACCCTGCAACCCCACCCTGCCACTCCACCCTGCCACCCCACCCTGCCACCCCACCCTGCAGCGACCTGCAATACAACTGGTTCTACGGTACACTGCCCGCCTACCTGCTCGATCTCCCCAACCTCACCAGTCTGTAAGTCACGCTCCCTACGTGCTTCTCTTTGTGTGGTTTTCTCATTTGTGCCCACTCCCTTCCCCACTTCCTTCCCCACTTCCTTCCCCACTCCCTTCCCCACTCCCTTCCCCACTCCCTTCCCCACTCCCTTCCCACTCCCTTCCCCACTCCCTTCCCCACTCCCTTCCCCACTCCCTTCCCCACTCCCTTCCCCACTCCCTTCCCCACTCCCTTCCCCACTCCCTTCCCCATTCCCTTCCGTACTCCCTTCCCCACTCCCTTCTGCACTCTCTTCCCCGCTCCCTTCCCCACTCCCTTCCCCACTCCCTTTCCCACTCCCTTCCCCACTCCCTTCCCCACTCCCTTTCCCACTCCCTTCCCCACTCCCTTCCCCACTCACTTCCCCACTCCCTTCCCCACTCCCTTCCCCTTCTCCCTTTCCCCTCCTCTCCACTCTCTTCCCCCCCCCACAGAGCCCTGGGAGGCAACTACCTCACAGGCACCGTACCCAAGCCCACCTCAACCACGCTCTCCAAGCTCGCACTCAATCAAAACTTTCTCACGGGCACGGTCCCGTCGCTGCCCTGTAGCTTCTGTGACGCCACTAAGAACTGCCTTAAAAACGCCGCCTCCTGCAGTTCGTCAGGCACGACACAAAGGAGTACGGGGTGTACGTTTTGTGGGTTAACAAGCGGGACGGGGACGCTATGTGGGGGTACAAAAGTGTGTAAGCCTGATGCAAGTTCCCTGCTAGCACAGGAAACCCCAAACACTGCTAGCTCGCCTCTGCTTACCTTTACTTGTGTGTAATATGCGGTTTTCTCTTGTGTTCAAATTTTGTTTGAAATTCATATGGTTCATTGGAGCCGTCCTGGTTTTCCGTCTTGATTCATTCATCACAAACTCGTTCGGGTCAATCCCGTCAAAACCTGCTCTTCGTTGCAGTTTATCCCATCGATCCCGTCAGAACCGTGGTGAATCTTTCAACAACACGGCACTACTAGGGGCGTATCACGACCAATCGCCCAACCAAATGGCAGGATTGGTTTTCACACCCAATCCTTCGCCGATCCTTCCGAGTGTCTGCGTCCTAACTTGATAATGTGCAAGTGTTGAGCTTTAGTTTGACATTCCATCACATTGTAATTATTGCGTTCTGTTGGCTGTTTATGCATCAACTACAGAAACATTCCGTTCTGATAGAATCAATTCCAGTCATTGAGCCTAATGGGTGGAGGAAGAGGAGGGAGGGCTTGCTTTGTTTTACACCTGTTTTCCGTCATTTTTACGTCCTGCAGCTGTTTTGACGAAGCATTCCTATCCGTTTTGTTTGCTGGCTTGATCAATCAAAACCAGTGCTAGTGTCATGTGTCATGTGGTAAGGTTTCCTGGGCTGTGATCACGAGGAATATCTCAGCGGAAACGGGTCGTCAGGCCTGACGACCCTCTGACGACCTGACGACATGCTGCCCCGGGCAGAAAAAACTGAAACCCTATCGGATGGCATGCCATCCGAGGGAGGCATCAACCCTAAATCCATGCCTCCCCGTGTTTAGGGTTGATGCCTCCCTGACCGGAGGGCTGTGATCACGAGGAATCGGCCAGACCATTTTGTTGCGACCTTCTTTTGGTTCCCTCTACTTGTACAAGAAGTTGTCCGAAACAACCCTTCAGTTTCAGGCAGGCCAGGAATTGTAGTTGCCCAGTAGACCATGCGCTGATACTGTCTTTTAGCTGGCAATGGTCCAGAAGAATGCACACTGTTGAATTGCGGCTTGGGCGACCTGCTACACTTGATTTCCAACAATGTTGTGAAGGGTTTCAGTTGCGCATCTCTCTTTCGCAAGCCGTCACCCATATCGCCGCCAGCCTGAAGTGGACGGAATATGTCGGGCTGGTTTGAGGCGTGTTGTGTGCAGAATTTGTAGTTATCAGCTAAAACCGAAATGGAATAGGCATCGCATGCAACCACTATTTGTGTTTTGTCGCGAGGGTGGCTTTACAGGTTTGGTCGTCTGATCCTTTTGCGTAGTTGATTGTCGGTACAGTAAATAGGATGCTGTTGCCTGTGCTTGATGCAAGGACTGTTTGTCTGAAGGTTTCTCCTTTCAGCAAGAAAGATGTTTGGCATCATGTGTGCTGTAATTCGGAGTGTTGGCACACTGAACTCGGCGGCCAAAATTAGCCATTGCTCTTCAAGAGAAGCATCTCACAGGACCGCAGTCTGGGGTCACACTTCCGTGTCGACTGTATTTTGTGGGGGGGAGGGGGGGGAGGGGGGGAAAGAGGACACGTAGTGGTCAAGTGGCCTTTATCCTATGTCTCGGCGTCAAATGCATTGTGAATGTGTTCAACAACAGGCAGACACGCAACTGCCATGGCAGTGGAGGTCTCTCCTCTTCTAGTGATTTGTAAATGAAAGGCCATTCAACGTGCTGGCGGCGATAGATACCGGACGGACCGGACGCGAGGCGATAGGTGCCGGACGTGACAACTATAGGTACCGGACGCGACGGCGATTAGATACCAGACGCGACGGCGATAGACAGCATGTCGAAGGGTTACTCCGATCGGTGTATCCAACGGCTGGTGACGACGCTCCTCCAGAAATCGGCTGTCGGACAGTTCATACCAATCCAGACGCAGCCGTAGCCGCGCGACGCAGACGCAGACGCAGAAGTAGACGCAGACGTAGACGTTAACGTAGACCTTAACGTAGACGCAGACAGACACGCAACTGCAACCTCTGACGCAGTGGAGTCGCCTTTGACACGCCGATATGCGAGACCGCACAGCATCTGCCATGGCTGGAATGTCCACGTCAGCATCATCCGTGGTCGCGATCTCTTCCGTGTTCCTTCTCATCGCGGCGTGTATACTGCGCCCCGTGACTTCAGTTACGATGACGACCAACGATAGTGAGCTCGCATTCCATGTGTGAGTCGAATGTTTGGCCCAAAGTGACCGCCGCTGAGTCATCCGATGAGTCATTCGGAGCGCCTTCTGAACTTGAGCTCGCATTCCATGTGTGATTCGAACGTAGTAGGCTCAGTGTGACCGTTGAGACATCTTTCGGAGCGCCTTCTGAACTTGAGCTCGCGTTCCATGTGTGAGTCGAACTGGAATGACTGTTTGGCCCGAAGGGTTCTCGGTCCTTCCGCCCACTGTAATCGCGCGCCGTTGAAACCTCACCGCTTTTGTTGGTGTATTTGTAATATCGTCTTTCTGCGTTCAAGTGAACTCCTCTATAGCTGACCGCATTTGATATCATATTGCCGCTTTCATGGGCCAGGCATCGTTGGGATTCGAGACGTCCGAGAACCCATGCGGAAAATTACTACTTGTTACTTATATCACTTTGGAGCATTCGCATGAATAACTACTTTTGAGACGTTTCAAAAGTCGTCCAGAGAGTGGTTAAATGACTTCAGAACCATTCCCTGTTTGCTTGTACGCCGCTGCGTGTCGTCTCCGAGACGCGAGTCGCGTGCCGTCCTCTTCCTGCCGTCGTAGGCGTCTTTTGAGAAACCTAAAATCCGACGGATACAGAAGTCTCGTTCGTATCACGGTCGTCGTCTTGTTCCATCGTCCATCGTCCTTTGTCTCGACTCGACTCCATTGGTATTTCATGATGCTTCGATTCCCCTTCCTGGCCTCCTTACGTGTCGTGTATTCCCATCACCCAGCACTCCCGTACGCTCACCCTCTCATCAGTTCCCTCTCTCCTTAGCCGACACTCACGCTCACGCTCCCACCACACCACACTACCGTACGCGATACGCGCTGTTCCCGTTTTCCCCTACAGGAGACGCGCTGCTCGCAATGAAGCCGGCTCTGGGCGTGACGCTAACGTCCTGGCAGGCGTCGTCCAGTTGCGGGCTGCTCGGGTTCGTGCAGCAGACGAATGAGTTTGGTGCGGTTTCGTGCGATGGGTCGGGAAACGTCGTTTGGATGTGAGTGTAACGGGGGTTGGAATCGCATCGCAGCAGTTCATGCTAAATCAACCAATCACGATCGCACGTCTCAGATGTTGATGCTGCTGTTGCTGCCTCCTTCCCACTTCGGCAATTTCAAGGGTTAACCATAATAACCAGTAAGCTCCAATAGGGCTTCCCTCAATCTGAACCCCCTTGCAAAAAAATAATCTTTCATTGACAAACACTCTATTTTCTGATTACATATGAAATAGATTCGACTCAAGCACACATCTCTAACCAGCTCCCCCCGTCTCCCCCCCCCTTTTCCCGGCTCGTACTTCCCTCATCCCGTGGCCTCTTTCCAGGAACTTTCACATGCAGTCGCTGAAGGGAAGCATGCCTACCGACATCAGCAAGCTCTCCGCTCTCACCTTCCTGTGAGGCGCCCCTTCCTTCCCCCCTCCCCTCCGTCCCGCCTTCCCCCTTTTCCTGCCTATCCCCGTTCCCTCCTCGCCCCCTTTCTCTTCTCTCAACTCCCGGACTCGAAAACCGGCTGACATGAGCCTTCATGTGAAGCTTCTCTCACTGCTCACCGCTCACCGCTCACCGCTCACCACTCACTGCTCACTGCTCATTGCTCACCGCTTGCCTTCATGTGAGCCGACCATTCCACTCCTTATCCGCACACCTTCTTTACCCTCGCCCCTCCATTACCTTCAGATTTCCATTCTCTTCCTACCTCACTCTCATACTCTCCCTTTCTTCCCCCCACCCACCCACCCACCCACCCACCCACCCACCCACACATACACCAACCCGTGCTACAATCCCTGCATCTCATGCACTTTTCATTTCCTTGTACCTCCCAATGCTCTTCCCCCAACCCTCTTCACGCAGAGCCATCGGTGGCTGGCACAACCCCTGCCTCTCACGCACTAGGTTGGCATTTCCCAGAAACACAGCAATCTGCACGGCTACAACGTGCTTCTGAAACACAGCAATCTCTGTTACAACGTGTTGCACGGCACGGCAGCTTCTGACGCATCTCAAACTCCCTCCGCCTCTCCTACCCCAGCCCCCCCTTCCCCCCCACAGCAATCTCTGCTGCAACCTGCTGCACGCCAGCTTCACGCCTTGGACAGCCACTTATGAGGCGCCTCAAACGGCATGTCCTTTCTCCCCCCCCTCTCTCTCCCCCCTCTTTCCCCCTCACAGCAATCTCTGCTACAACCTGCTGCATGGAAGCTTCACGCCATGGACAGCCACGCTGATGCAAATGCCTCAACTCATCGATTTGTGAGTCTTGCTTTCGCCACCACAACTTTTCGCCAGCACAAGCTTTCCCCGTGCTCTTGCTCTCCTCCCGTGCTCTCACTCCCCTCTCCCTCTGTGCTCTCACTCCCCTCTCCCTCTGTGCTCTCACTCCCCTCTCCCTCTGTGCTCTCACTCCCCTCTCCCTCTGTGCTCTCACTCCCCTCTCCCTCTGTGCTCTCACTCCCCCGCTCTCCTCCCGTGCTCTCAATCCCCTGTGCTCTCACTCCCCCTTTCCCTCTGTGGGGATCCCTCTGTGTGCGTGTGGCGTGACCCCCCTCTGTGCACCCGAGTGCATACCATCCGGTTCCACAGCACCATCGCAACCACCCTTGACGGTCGTTCCCAACGTTCGTCTCACCTCAAACTCAGAGTCCCACCCCTCTGTGCGCCCCTCGCTCTCTGCAGGCGAATCTGTGCCAACTGGTTCTACGGCACCATCCCAACATCCTTCATCAACCTCACACGCCTAACATTCCTGTACGTGCTTCTTTAGTCCACTCAAATGTCCTCTCACGCGCCCCCATCCCAACATACCGGTACGTGCTTGAGATGTTGTTACAGGCCGTGCTGTACGTTCCTTCGTGCGTACGTGCCGTGCCTTCATGCGTACGTAGATAAAAACGTCTTCATCACCCGTTCCCCCTCCCCTCCCCCCCCTTCTCTCCCCTTTCCCATCCTCCCTCCTCCAGAACCGTATTCTCCAACTATCTCGTGGGCGCGATCCCCCCACTCCCCCCTTCGCTCGTAAATTTTTACGTCGATAAAAACTTCTTCATCGCCCGTTCCCCCTCCGGTGTCTCACCCGCCGTCTGCCACACCAACTGCTTCACCAGCAGCCCTCCTGCTGCCTGCCCCCTCTCCACCCAAAGACCCGCTGCCGACTGCGTGTTTTGCGGCGGGGTGGCCGGGGCGACGGGCATGTGCAGGGGGTTTGTGGAGGGGTGCACACCAGATCCCACTGGGCTGAGCGTGCCGAATGGGGGCAGTGTTACTGCGCTGCTCCCGCAATTCTGCGAGGCTGCCTATGTTCTCCCTGCGCAGGGTGAGTGAGCCTGACTGTGTGCTTTGAGGTTTTCTTGTAGGAAGGGTGTGAGGTAGAGTGTGAGATTGGTGAGAGGTAGAGTGTGAGGCAGAGTGTGAGGTGGGGTGTGAGGTTGGTGAGAGGTAGAGTGTGAGGTAGAGTGCGAGGTGGGGTGTGAGGTGGAGTGTGGGGTGGAGTGTGAGGTAGGGTGGGTTTCAGGGAGTGCATGGCTTGACCCACTTCAATGATCCCCTCCCATCCCCACTCCTATCCGCTTCCCTCATCTCCTCCCACTCAGCCCGTTACTTCCACACTCACTCCCCTCTGTCATCACCCTCACCATCCCATCCCATCCTATCCCATCCCATCCCATCCCATCCCATCCCATCCCATCCCATCCCATCCCATCCCATCCCATCCCATGCCGTTCAGTCAGTGTCCATCCTGCTTGCGCTAAAGTCGTCGTCTCTGGGCGTGACAGACACCACGTGGGTGGGTGGTCACAGCGGAGTGCACAGCTCATCTCATCTCCTCACATTCCTCACGCCCCACCTCACATCCCATGCAGTGTCCATCCTGCTATCGCTCAAGTCATCCCTCGGCGTGACGGACAGCACATGGGCAGGCACAGGGGAGTGTACGGGGGAGAAGGCCTCTCAGTCCTCGCCCTACTGGGCTGGCGTCAAATGCTCCGACACTGGGGCTGTCACAAGCATGTGAGTGGGCTGTAGCGGGCTGTAGCATTCATGTGAGTGGGCTGTAGCACAGGGGAATGCTCGGACACAAAAGTGACGGACACCCCATGGGTGGGCACAGGGCAGTGCACGGCACGCGCAGGGGAGAAGGCCTCCCAGGCCTCGCCCTACTGGGCTGGTGTCAGATGCTCGGACGCTGGGGCTGTCACAAGCATATGGTTCGGCCCGGTTCGAACCTAGTCGGGCGAACCACAAAACCGGGCTGAACCTGGTTTGGCCGAATAGGGCCAGGCCGTTTGCTGCTGCGGCTGTCGTGGGGTGTTGCAGGGTGTAGCAGGGTGTAGCGGGGTGTAACGGGGTGTGGCAGGGTGTATTCTGAGGCATCCCAGGCCTCGCTCTACTGGTCTAAGGTTCAATGTCAGACGCCCTGCTAAAGCAAGGCCGCTTTGGATCGCTGCACTCCTTTCCTCCATCTCACGCCTTTTTTCCCACGCCCTCCCCTTGCTTTGTTGTGCCCGCCCTTCCTCCCAACCCCCCCACTTCCGCCCCTCAACAGTGCTCTGCGCATGCAAGGCCTCTCTGGGTCACTGCCCTCCACGTTTTCATCTCTACCCTCCTTTTCGTGTGTCCCTCTCTCCCCCCCGTCCTCCCAACTCCCCCTCTTCCTCCTTCTTGACAACAGCGCTCTGCGCACGCAAGGCCTCTCTGGATCGCTGCCCGCAACCATCTCGTTGCTCTCAACGCTCACCTCCCTGTAAGGCCGTGCCCGCACTCTCTCTCTCTCTCTCGCCACTCTCTCTCGCCACTCTCTCTCTCTCTCGCCACTCTCCCTCTCTCGCCACTCTCTCTCGCCACTCTCTCTCTCTCGCCACTCTCTCTCTCTCTCGCCACTCTCTCTCTCTCGCCACTCTCTCTCTCGCCACTCTCTCTCGCCACTCTCTCTCGCCACTCTCTCTCTCGCCACTCTCTCTCTCCACTCCCAGTTTTGTAACAGATTGGGTACGTAATCTTCATCTGTGATTGCTTTCTCCTTTACTCTCTTCCCGCCCTTGGCCTCTAGCAAGTTTCCCTCATTGAGACACCTCTGATTAAAATCCCCCTCTCACCCTTCCCCTCGTCTCCCTCTTCTCTCCCCCTCCACGCAGCGACCTGAGCTCCAACCTCTTCAACCAGCAGCTGGACGGCTTTCTCTCTTTGAGGCGCCTCAAGAAACGCCTATATTATTCCCTCCCTCCCCTCTTCCCTCCCTCTCCCCTCCCCTCCACGCAGCGACCTGAGCTCCAATCTCTTCAACCAGCAGCTGGACGGCTTTCTCTCGTTGAAACGCCCCTGATATCAATCCCCATCTCACCTTTCTCTCTTCCCCCCCCTTTTCCCCACCACACACACAGCGATCTGAGCTCTAACCTCTTCAACCAGCAGCTGGACGGCTTTCTCTCGGACGTGTACTTGCTCACTCAACTCAAGCAGCTGTACGGCTCGTTTCTTAATAGTTGCTTGGTATTTTAGACTGTCTCAGAATCCTGTCTCTCTCTCCTACGTGTTCTCTCTCGCTCAACTCAAACAGCTGTACCTCTCATCTCTTGAAAGTTGAAGTCTGTATGTATCCTTGGGAAATCTCAAAAGGTTTCTCTCTGACGTGCTCCCCTGCTCCAGCAGCTGTAGCCTGTACGTCTCGTCTCTTGATGCAACACTGACTTTTTAAGAGATTTTCAACGGTTCGTCTTTCAACTTGTCGTTGCTCACTCTGCCAAGCAACTGTCTGTCTCTTTCCCTGACCCTGCATGCAGGCTCCTCGGATACAACTGGTTCTATGGTTCAGTCCCCTCCACCATCTCTCAGCTCTCCAAACTAACTGGCTTGTGAGTCACTTCATGCCTGCTATCCCCATTCTCAATGCCCTAAACCCTGAACGCCGACCCGACCTCGGCTCCTTCTCACCCCTCCTTTTTCCTCCTCCACCGTTCCGAACCACTCTCCACCACTCCCCACCACCCTCCACCAGGTCCCTCTTCTCCAACTATCTCACCGGCTCGCTACCCTCACTCCCCTCCTCCCTCCGCGCCCTCGACATAGCATACAACTTCCTCTTTGGCTCGCTCCCTACCCTCCCCTCCACCCTCTCCCACTGCGCGGCCGAACACAACTGTCTTATCCCCGCCGCTGCCGCTCCCTGCGCTCGCTTCGGCTCCACCCAACGCCCTGCAGCAGTGGCGGGAGCAGCAGTGGCGACGGCCACGGAGCGGTGTGCGGTGTGTGGGATGGGCACGGCGACGGAAGCAAGCGGGTGCTTTGATGGGGAGTGTGTGGTGTCTGTGGCTCCAGTGGTGGCGCAGGCGGGACCAAACGGCCCGGCTCAATCCGTGCAGGATATGCAGTGCTCAGGTGTGTGCGCTGTGTGTGCGCTCTGGGGAGAGGGGGGAGGGCTTGAAACACCTGTTGGGGTTGCGGTGTGGAAGGAGAGAGGTGCTGGGATGGGGACTGCTTGGTGTGTGTGGCTCCAAATGTGATTCAGCCGGGGTCAGTGGTGGTTCAGGCGGGGCCAAACAGGCCGTTTCAAGCTGTGCTAGGTCTGCAGTGTTCGGGTGTGTGTGCTGAAAGTGGGTGAATGTTCAAAGTGGATGTGCGCTCAAGTGAATTATTTATGTGTGAATTATTTATGTGTGAATTATTTATGTGTGAATTATTTATGTACGCATGACATGTATGTAAGCATGCCGTGTATCCCGCCTTCACTGATTTCTTTTGCTCCACCCTTGCCTCATCCCCACCTATGCGTCCTCCCCGTCCTTCCACCCCACTCCCACCCACCCACCCACCCATATCCTTCATATTGCCCCAAACAGGCAGCTCACAAGCCTCGATGGCTGATGCTACAGGTGAGAGAAATCAGACAGCTGAGAAATGCTATAAATGTGTGAGATGAAACGCATTGAAGCGTGTGCGAGATGAAACGCATTAGAGATGAAGCGCGTGTGAGATGAAACTCGTTTTGTCCTGCTCTGCTCTCCTCTTCCTCTGTCCATTGCCTCGCTTTCCCCTTGTAATCCTGCCCTCCTACTCCCTTTTCCCCCACCCCCCCATTCCCTGCAATCCCTCCTCCCCCAATCGCTCTTCTACCCCCTCCCATTACTTTCCTCCCCTCCCCTCTTATCCCCCAGTGACTGCTCTTCTATCTCTCAAGAGTGCGTTGGGAGTGACGGCCGCGGCATGGGGCAGTGGGGGGTGCAATGTGGAGGGATACACCTCGGGCTCTGACTGGCTGGGCGTGGCCTGCGACTCCCTCGGGAACGTCGTCTCCATGTGAGTTGACTTGCTTGACTCGGTTGATTTCAGAGGCGCCTAAAAAATCGTCTCATTTTTTTTAGGCGCCTCAAAAACCATGTGAGTTGACTTTGTTGACTCGGTTGACTCGCTTGACTCGCACTTCATTGACTTGACCGTTCCCCATGCCCCATGTCCCATGCCCCATGCCCCATGCCCCATGCCCCATGCCCCATGCTCCATGCCCTGTACCTCATACTCCATGGCCCATGGCCCATGCCCCATGATGCCCCATGTCCCATGCCCTGTACCTCACCCGATGCCCACTCCCCGTGCCCCGTACCCCATGCCCCACCCCTCATCCCCTTTCTCACGGACCAGTGACTAGACAGGCCAGAAGCTCAAGGGGTCCACAGGAGCGGATGTCAGCACTCGCACATCGCTCATCCTCCGTGCAACCGTTCTCACCATGCCACATACCCACCCATGCCCATGCCGTGTGTCACACTCTCTGCAGTGACTTGACGAGCCAGAATCTCAAGGGGTCCATGGCATTGGATGCCAGCACTCTCACAAGGCCCAGCCAGCCTCCGTGTTGCCTTGCCTTTCCCCCGGGAAATCCACGCATGCTCACTTCCATGCTCTCATGCTCTCAACCTTCTGCCTGGCAGTGACTTGACGAGTCAGAAGCTCAAGGGGTCCATGGCCTCAGATGTCAGCACTCTCACATCGCTCACTCGTCTGTACGTCCTCCCCATGAGTTTGCATGCTGTGGGTGGATGGGATGCCATGCCATGCCATGCCATGCCATGCCATGCCATGCCATGCCATGCCATGCCATGCCATGCCATGCCATGCCATGCCATGCCATGCCTTGCCATGCCATGCCATGCCACATGCAATGCCACATGCCTGCCATGCCGCATGCCGTGCTGTGACTTGCCATACCATGCCAACTTATGAGAACCCTTGACAGCAACGTCTTCCGGCCGCCTCGTGTCTCCTTTGTCTTCCCCCACTCTTCCCAACCCTCCCCCCTCCCCTCACTTGCGCCCCCATTTCCCCCCCTCTGCAGCACCTTCGACAGCAACCTATTCTGGACACCGCTAGCCTCCTTCGTCTCCTACCTCTCCTCCCTCTCCAACCTCGTCGTGCTGTGAGTGCTCTTGAGTAGCCGTGAGTGCTCCTTCTGTGTTGCCTTTTGAGACGCCTCAAAGGTAGTTTACTTCCCCTCCCTCTCCAACCTCGTCGTGCTGTGAGTGCTCTTGAGTAGCTGTGAGTGCTCCTTCTGTGTTGCCTTTTGAGACGCCTCAAAGGTAGTTTACTTCCCCTCCCTCTCCAACCTCGTCGTGCTGTGAGTGCTCTTGAGTAGCTGTGAATGCTCCTTCTGTGTTGCCTTTTGAGACGCCTCAAAGGTAGTTTACTTCCCCTCCCTCTCCAACCTCGTCGTGCTATGAGTGCTCTTTAGCTTCTGTGCGGATCTTTCTTGTCGCAGTTGAATTTGTGAAAACCACCTCCGTCGCAACTGCTCACTGCCTACCTTCGTGATCTCCCTTCCATCCTCGCTTCCTCCCACCGACCCTCCCACCCATCCCTACCCTCCCACACACCCTGTCCCACCCACCAGACAGTGACCTGCTACACAACTGGTTCTACGGCTCACCCTCTGCCTACCTGCCTCTGAAGTGCCTCAAAAGATATTTGCGTCGTCACCCCCACCCTGCCCCACCCCACCCTGCAGCGACCTGCAATACAACTGGTTCTACGGCACACTCCCCGCCTACCTGCTCAATCTCCCCAGCCTCACCAGTCTGTGAGTCCCTCTCTAAACTATGTGCGGCTCTTTCTGTGCTTCGCTCAGCCTCCCACACACCTCCCTGCTTGCTTGCTCTCTTCTCCCCAGCCTAACCAGACTGCAACCCCCTTTCTCTAATTGTGCCCACTCCCTTCCACTTATTTCCACTCCCTTCCCCACTCCCTTCCCCACTCCTTCCCCTCACCCTCCTCACCCATCCTCCGTCCCTCTCCCTTTCCGTTCTCTTTCCGTCCCTTCTCCCTTTCCCCTCCCCCTCATCTCTCCCCTCAGAGCCCTGGGAGGCAACTACCTCACAGGCACCGTACTCAACCACTCTCTCCAAACTCGCACTCACCAGCAACTTCCTCACGGGCACCGTCCCATCGCTGCCCTGTAGCTTCTGCGATGCAACTAAGAACTGCCTTAAAAACTCCCCCTTCTCACTCACCCAATTTTTTCCTTTCTCTCTTCTCCTTTCCCTTCTCTTCCCCTTCTCCCTTTCCCCTCCCCTCCCTCTCTCTCTCTCCCCTCAGAGCCCTGGGAGGCAACTACCTCACGGGCACCGTACCCAAGCCCACCTTAACCACTCTCTCCAAGCTTGCACTCAACCAAAACTTCCTCACGGGCACGGTCCCATCGTTGCCCTGTAGCTTCTGCGACGCCACTCAGAACTGCCTTAAAAACGCCGCCTCCTGCAGTTCGTCGGGCACGACACAAAGGAGTACGGGGTGTACGTTTTGTGGGTTAACAAGCGGGACGGGGACCCTATGTGGGGGCACGAAAGTGTGCAAGCCGGATGCGAGTGGACCCCTAGCACAGGAAACGCCGAACACTGCAAGCTCGCCTCTGCTCAGCTTGACTTGCGTGTAATTTATATGGTTTTGTTTTGTATGGTTTGGTTTGGATTTTACTTGGTGATACCACAGAATAGAGACTATGAGTTGAGTTGCGACTGTGTTGGCTATTTGGAGTTTGTCGCGGGTTTTCCATACCACGGAAGGATGTAACTGGTGCGATGAATCTCACCAGAATAATCCCACCAGAAAAAATCCCACTAGAACGAATCCCACTAGAAGGAATTGCAGGTGATTTTGATTCTGTACAAAGTTCTTTTGTCCTTTTTTTCATCTTCCATGGGACTATTTCTTTGCACATGGAATTATGATTTAGAAAAAACTTGCCTTTTGCAACCTGTAAAGGCATCGTGCTTCATTTCAAACTGTACAGTAACATTGATTTCCATTGGTACAGCTACAGGAACACCCTGTATCTCGGTTTTGGTAGAAGCACTCCCATCGGGTAAGCATAACAGGCGGAGCAAGAGGAGGCGGCGGGGAGGGTGGTGGTTGGGGAGGGGGAGAAGGTGGTGGTTGGGGAGGAGATGGGGGAGGGAGAGGAGGAGGGGAGGGTGGTGGTTGGGGAGGGGAGGGAGGAGGAAGGGGAGGGGGAGAGGGTGGTGGGTCGGGTGGGGAGGGAGGGGGATAGGGAGGGGGGAAGGGTGGGGAATTGGGAGGTGAGGGAGGAGGATAAGGAGGGGGGAAGGGTGGTGGGTGGGGAGGTGAAGGAGGAGGTGATTGAGTGAGAGGGGACATGTAAAAGGAGGCAGAAAGAGGGGGGGATGGGGGGGATGGGGGGGAAGGGGGGGAGGGAAGCGCAGGAGTTGCTTCAGGAGGGGAGGGGGGAGGGAGAGGAGGAAGAGAGGGTGATGTATCGGGAGAGGTGGGAGGGGAGGGTGGGGGTGATGGTGGTGGTGATGGTGATGGTGATGGTGATGGTGATGGTGATGGTGATGGTGATGGTGATGGTGATGGGGGAGGGGACAGGGGAGGTGAGTCAGAAAGGGGAGGTGATGGGGGAAAGGGAGGTGGGGGGAAGGGAGGCGTTGTTGCTTCAGGAAGCGAGGGGGGAGAGAGAGGAGGGAGGGAGGGTGGTGCGTCTGGAGCGTTGGTGGGGGAAGGTAGGGGTGATAGTGATGGGGGGATGGGAGGAGGCTGAGAGAGTGAGGCAGAAAGAGGGGGTGATGGGGGGGAGGGAGGGGAGGGAAGTGGAGGCGCTGTTGCTTCAAGAGGAGAGGGGGGAGAGAGAGGAGGAGAAGGTGGGGAGGGTGATGTATTGGGAACGATAGGAGGGGAGGGTGGGGGTGATGGTGAAGGTGGTGGGGGAGAGGATAGGGGAGCTGAGGCAGAGTGGGGTGGGGAGGTAGAGATGGGAGGGGAGGCAGAGTGGGGAGGTGATGGAGGGGGGAAGAGAGGAGGTGTTGCTGCTTCAGGAGGAGAGGGGGGGAGGGAGAGGAGGAGAAGGTGGGGAGGGTGATGAGTTAGGAGCAAGGGAGGGGGGTGAGATAGGAGCAAGAGAGGGGGATGAGATAGGAGCGAGGGCGGGTGGTGCATTGGGCGTGTTGGGAGGGGAGGGTGGGAGTGGTAGAGATGGTGGCAGGGGAGGGAAGAAGGGAGGGGAGGCAGAGAGGGGAGGGGAGGCAGAGAGGGGAGGTGAGGCAACGAGGGGAGGTGATGGGGGGAAGGGTGGAGGGGGAACGGGAGGAGTTGCTGCAGCTGTTGCTCCGGGAGGGAGGGGGGGAGGGGGAGGTGAGGGGGGGGGCTGGGACTGAGGAGGTGGAGGGGGGTTGAGTGTGGCGGAGGGGAGGGAGGGGGGGGATGGTGGGGGAGGTGAGAGAGGCGGAGGAGGAGAGACAGTGAGGGAGGGTGGAGGGGAAGGAGGGGACGGAGTGGGAGGCGCTGGAGGGGTGGGGGTGGGAGGAGGAGGGGAGGTTGGGGAAGGTGGAGAGGGTGGGGAAGGAGGGGGAAAGGGTGGGGAGGGTGGGGATGGAGGGGGAAAGGGTGGGGAGGGTGGGGGAGAAGGAGGAGAGGGGGGCGAAGGTGGCTGGGGTGGTGGCGGAGGGCTTGCTGTGGGTCATGCAGAGAAACAGGCAGGGATAGGGATGATGGGGGAGGCATGTGGGAAGATGGGAAGATGGGAGAATGGGACAAAAGAGAGAGAGTGTTAATGCAGGGCGTTCTGGGAGGGATGACAAATGACTTTGCTTGCAGGGACATAGGGTGAGAGATGCAAACTCCACGGGGGAGTTTATGCAAAGTAGGAAAACTAGTACAGACCAGCAACACCAGCACCACAAGCAGCAGCACCACAAGCAGCAGCACTGGCACCAGAGTACACACAACACATACATGCAGCATGCACAAAACTGCACTCAACCGATTACCTTTCAGAGTGCATGTCATGCGATAAGCAAACAGCACGTATCTCGAGGAGCAACAGCAACACAACACATGCAGCACTCACAACAACTGCAGCACACACAACACATGCAGCACTCACAACAACTGCAGCACACACAACACATGCAGCACTCACAACAACTGCAGCACACACAACACATGCAGCACTCACAACAACTGCAGCACACACAACACATGCAGCACTCACAACAACTGCAGCACACACAACACATGCAGCACTCACAACAACTGCAGCACACACAACACATGCAGCACTCACAAAAACTGCAGCACACACAACACATGCAGCACTCACAACACATGCAGCACACACAAGACATGCAGCACTCACAACAACTGCAGCACACACAACACATGCAGCACTCACAAAAACTGCAGCACACACAACACATGCAGCACTCACAACAACTGCAGCACACACAACACATGCAGCACTCACAACAACTGCAGCACACACAACACATGCAGCACACACAACAACTGCAGCACACACAACACATGCAGCACTCACAACAACTGCAGCACTCACAACACATGCAGCACACACAACACATGCAGCACTCACAACAACTGCAGCACTCACAACACATGCAGCACTCACAACAACTGCAGCACACACAACACATGCAGCACTCACAACAACTGCAGCACACACAACACATGCAGCACTCACAACAACTGCAGCACACACAACAAATGCAGCACTCACAACAACTGCAGCACACACAACACATGCAGCACACACAACACATGCAGCACTCACAAAAACTGCTGCACACACAACACATGCAGCACTCACAACAACTGCAGCACACACAACACATGCAGCACTCACAACAACTGCAGCACACACAACACATGCAGCACACACAACAACTGCAGCACACACAACACATGCAGCACTCACAACAACTGCAGCACTCACAACAACTGCAGCACACACAACACATGCAGCACACACAACACATGCAGCACACACAACACATGCAGCACACACAACACATGCAGCACACACAACAACCGCAGCACTCACAACAACTGCAGCACACTCGACACTGCATTCATCCCCTTACCTTTCAGAGTGCACGTCATGCGATCAGCAGATAGCACATATCTCGAGGAGCAACAGCAACACATGCAGCACACAAAATACGCCAGCAGTTCTTACCTTTCAGAGTGCACGTCATGCGATCAGCAGACAGCACATATCTCGAGGAAGGGCACGTGCACCCAAACACCACCTGCGCCTGCTGCTGCTGCTGCTGCTGCTGCTGCTGCTTCCCCCCCGCCCCCGCCCTTTTCCCCGCTCCAGCGCCCCCTATGGTAGCCGCAGGAGGGGGAGGAGGGTACGTGACCGTAGCCAGGCACGTGCCAGCACCATTCCCACACTGGGCGTTGAGGGAGTTGAGGGATTGCGAGCCCACACCATTCCCAAGTGGGCTGAAGCTCGTTCCACAGAAGCTGAGGCACTGGGAGGTGGGCCGCTGCTGTTGAATCACGCTCTGTATTGTCACAGGAGCAGGGGGAGGAGGAGGTGGAGGGCGTGGTGGTGGTGATTTCGGTGGGGGTTTCCTTAGCGGTTGCGGCTTGCGGGTTCTGCCTGCTGCTAGTGCCGCCCGGACAGCTGCCAAACTCCTTTGAGACCTTGACAGCAAGCCATGAGCCGACTCAAAAGTGTCTACATTTGCCAACCGCCGCCGACCGGCGTCCACCTGCTCTTGACTTGGAGCAATCTCCGCCTCTTGCCTCCCAACGTCCTCTTTTCTTCCCTCCACCATACCATCCGTGTTTTGAGCCGACTCAAAAATACCATCTCTGTGCAACACCCTCTCTCCTCCCCTGCCTCGCCTGCTGCGCTGCCTACTGCCTCGTCTGCTGCTGTGTTGCCTGCTGCTGTCCCCTCGCCCCATGGGACCCAGCAGCTCATTCCCCATGCTGTGGTTAATCCACCTGCCCCCTGTCCGCCTCATCCCCCCTCCCACTCCCCTTCCCACCATCCTCCCCTGCCGCATCCCCTCTAATCTCCATCCCTCTAGCCGCGTCCCCTCTAATTGAATCCCCATCTGCTGCTTCCTCCGCTTCCCCTCATGCCCCACCAACCCCATCCTCTCGCTATGCCCGAACAAACCCTCCTCTTCCTCATCTGCAAGGGAAGCCGGATGGGAGAGGACAGGAGCAGAGGCCGCCTGATTCCTCTCATGCCCCACCAACCCTCTCCTCTCGCCATGCCCGAATGAACCCTCCTCCTCATTTGCAAGAGGAGCAGAGGACGCCTGCTTCCTCTCATGCCCCAACGTTTCCATCCTCTCTCTGTGTCTCACTCTCTGGGAACCCTTCTCTTCTCCAACACCATGTCCCACTGAACCCTGGGAAGCCGTCTCAAACATAGTCGTCTCGGGGAAATTCCGAGTTGCCTCGGAAGCGGCTTGTTGCCGTTTCCACCGTCTCCTGTGCCCCATCTCCACCTCCGCCCTCTCTCTGTGCCCTGGCTGCGCCAGTGCGTCGCCGTGATGAGACGACACATGCGCATGCGACAGGTGGGAGGGGCGACGATGCCTATGCCCCACCACCCCCTCGTCCTCCGTCTCTCTCTGCCCTGATACCAGCGGAGAATTGCCTTCATGGGACGAGGCACGCACGTGCGACACTTGTGTGTGTGGTGGTGGGTGAGTGAGGTGAAGCCCCTGCCCCGTAGTCTCCTCCTCCTTCTCTCTCTGCCCTGACGCAGGCAACGAATCGCCTTCATTCGACGCCACATGCACGTGCGACCCGTGGGCGTGGAGATGTCCGAATAACACCGCCCGCTCCTCGCCTTCAGAGGGCAGCACATGAGAGGCATGCGAAGCGCCACTTGCGTGGTCGTGGCTGTGTCCCAGAACAATCGCCCTCTTGTCCCCCTCGTGAGACGCCCTCTTGTCAACTTCGTGAGACGCCACTTGCGCATGCGTCGCATGGGCATGGCCATCGGTGTGTGCGTGAAAGCCGTCTCTGTTCCCTCCACGAAACCCAGTTCCTTCTCCCCTTCCCTCTTCATGCGATGCCGCACGGCCGAGCACAGCACCAGGGCTCTGCTCCTCTGGTACCACCGACAGCACTGCCTGCTTTTCCCGCTGCTCCTCCCCTCCACGCCCTACCATCTCCAATCTCTCCCTGTGCCCCGAGAGGCCCATGTGTCCAACCCTTGGTATCCCCTCTTCCTCTTCATGCGATGCCGCACGGCCGAGCACAGCACCAGAGCTCTGCTCCTGTGGTACCACTGACTGCACAGCCTGCCGTTCCTGCTGCTCCTCCTCTTCACTCCCTAGCATCTCCGCCCTCTCCCTGTGCCCTGAAAAAGCAGCTCTGTCCTCATCTTCGTGGGTGACTGCATGGGCAAGGTCACCACCAGAGGTCATCTCCCCCTGATACGCCTCAGATCCTACTGCCTGCTGCTCCCGCTGCTCCCGCTGCTCCCGCTGCTCCCGCTGCTCCTGCTGCTCCCCTCCACGCCCCAGCATCTCCGCCCTCTCCCTGCGCCCTGGGAAGTCTAGCCTTCCTTCGTCTTCTTGTGAGGCGAGATGGCCAGCAGTGGCAGCACCAGAGGTCATCTCCCCCTCATGCGCCTCCAAAGGTGCTGCCTGCTGCTTCTGCTGCTCTTTCTCCTCACGCCCTACCATCTCCGCTCTCTCCCTGTGCCCGAGAAAAGCGGCACGCAATTGTTCGTCATACGAACGCAGAGAGGAGCGGACATGACGAGAGGAAGCTTCCAGGTCAGCAGTGGTGGCATGAGTTGACTTTTGAGTCGACTCAAGAGGCAATTGTTCTTCATACGATGGCAGGGAGGAGTGGACAGGAGGAGAGGAAGCTTCAAGGTCAGCAGCGGTGGCATGAGTGCGTTGCTGCTGCTGAGGCGACTCAAGAGTTGCTATCAGATGAGCACTGGTGGCATCAGCGCTAGACCCTGGCTGCCGTTCCCTCTTCTCCTCTTCCCGCCCTACCATCTCCGCCCTCTCCTTGTGTCCAGACAAGTCCCCTCCCACACTGTGTTCACGGGAGGGCACAGAGGCGAGGACATGAGGAGAGGAGGTAATAAGGTTAGCAGTGGTGGTGGTATGAGAAGGATGTGATTCTCTCCTCTTCTCCTCACGCCCTACCATCTCCGCCCTCTCCTTGTGACCTAGAAAGCCCGCCCTCTCTTCGTCAGCAGCACTGGCTCTGCTGCTGCTAATGGCGCTGCTGCTGGTGTGAATGCTTTGAGCAGTAACGCTGGCGCTGCTGCTACCAGGATCCCCCATACTGCTGATTCGAACGTTGAAAACATCACCACCACCACCACCACCGCTGCTGCTCATCATGCCAGCGCTTCTAGTCGCAACAGCCCCATCACCAGCACCACCACTGCCACCACCATCACCAGCATCGCAGACGGAAGCGTCAAAGGTGAGGCAGTTGTAGGCGGTGCGGACGGTGAGGGAGAGCGAGGGGCAGATGGGGGCGCCGGAGGCATCGAGGGGAACGGCGGGACCGAAGAAGAAGTTGGAGGAGAGGTCGAGAGAGAGGAGGGAGGTGACGGAGGGGAGCGTGGGGAGGAGACCCGTGAAGTAGTTGCGTGATAGGTTGCTGGTGTGGGGGGAAAGGGGGAAGGGAAAGAGGGAAGGAACTGGGAGTGAGTGAGGGAGGGGAGAAGGAGCTAGAGATGTTGCCTGAGAGGTTGCTGCTGGAAGGGGGAGAAGGTGGGAGAAGGGGGGAGAGTGAGGGAGAGCGAGGGGCAGATGGGGGCGCCGGAGGCATCGAGGGGAACGGCGGGACCGAAGAAGAAGTTGGAGGAGAGGTCGAGAGAGAGGAGGGCGGCGGCCGAGGGGAGCGTGGGGAGGGGGCCCGTGAAGTAGTTGCGTGATACGTTGCTGGTGGGGGGGAAAGGGGGAAGGGAAAGAGGGAAGGAACTGGGAGTGAGTGAGGAGGGGAGAAGCAGCTAGGGAAGTCGCCTGAGGGGTTGCTGCTGGAAGGGGGAGAAGGGGGGAGAAAGGGGTTGCTGACTTTTGAATCGACTCAAGAGATTGTTGAGAATAGCTCACTGTATTTGAGGTGGCTCAAATACGAAGGGGAGCAGTATTGGAAAGTGGAGTGGATGGAAAGTGATGCGGAAAGTTGCACGAGGGAGGGGGGATGTGCGCATTGATGAGAGCTCACAGTTCGACAAGGGAGGAGAGGCGGCTGATGAGGGTGATGAGAGTGTGTTTGAGGTGGTTCAAGAGTAATGGGAGCGGTACTGAGAAGTGATGTGCGAGTTGAGGAGAGCTCACAGTTCCACAAGGGAGGAGAGGCGGCTGATGAGGGTGATGAGAGTGTGTTTGAGGTGGTTCAAGAGTAATGGGAGCGGTACTGAGAAGTGATGTGCGAGTTGAAGAGAGCTCACAGTTCCACAAGGGAGGAGAGGCGGCTGATGAGGGTGGCGGGGGCACCCGTGAAGGCATTCGCAGCAATGTCACTGGCGATCATGGGGGAAAGGGAGAGGGGGCAGGAAAGCATGGGGGGGAGTGTAACAGATGGTGTGATGTGAACGGGTGGGAGGGAGGGAACACGAGGGAAAGTGGGGAGGGTAAGAAAGAGGGTAAGACAGTCACACTTGGAGCTGAGAAGAACAGGCACAGAGGGGCCGCACATTCAAGCCTGGATAGTTCAGAGAAGCACTCACAGCGTGTGCAGCAGAGAGCAGGTCGTTAGTGACGGTGGCAAGAGGCCGTGCAGTTGATTCCGACTCAAGCGGCTGAGGGGAAGGGACGAGCATGGGGGACCGACCGAGGACAGAGACAGAGGGGAGCTGAGCTCAAAACAGGAGGAGGTGTGAGTGAGGGGAAAAAGAGCATTGCACAGAGTTGGACCATCTTGGCTGATATTAGATTAGAAGGGCAGCAGTGTGTGTGAAATGACGACGCTTGAACACCAGGAGGAACAGCTGTAAAACAGCTAAGTGAAAACTGGATCTCAAAAAGACTCCGTCTCTGAAGAGAGAAAAAAAAAACATGATGCCAGCCAGTGTCATACTCACTCACATGCTACTGACGTCACAATCGCATGTTGCTGACGTCGCACTCGCATGATGCTGACGTCACACTCACATGATGCTGACGTCACACTCACATGATGCTGACGTCAGGCATGGCGCTGGTGAAGATGGGAGGGAGAGTTCCCGACAGCTGATTGGCCGACAGGTCTCTGCTTGGAGGGTTGGGGGAGAGGAGGAGGGCGGGGGAAAGGGACAGGTCAAGTCAAGGTGGACGGTGGGGAGGGACGGACGGGAGAGGGGAAGGGGGAGCGGAAAGGGGAGGGGAAGGGGGAGGGGAAGGGGGAGGGGAAAGGGGAGGGGAAGGGGGAGGGGAAGGGGGAGGGGAAGGGGGAGGGGAAGGGGGAGGGGAAGGGGGAGGGGAAAGGGGAGGGGAAGGGGGAGGGGAAAGGGGAGGTGAAGGGGGAGGGGAAGGTCGAGGGGAGGGCGGAGGGGGAGAGGCAGGTTTTGAGGGGGGAAAGAGAGCGTGGGTGGTCTACTCTGAAGCAAGAGGCAAGGTGAGGGGCGCACGGCAATGGGAGGAGGGCAAGGTTAGGCAGGCACGGTCATAAGGGGGGGGCAAAAGAAGCGAGGAGCTCACATTTCGTAGAGAGAGGCGAGGGAGGAGAGGGCGGATGGGATGGGCCCTTGGAAGGAGTTGCCATTGAGTAGCCTGCACAGAGGGTCACGCCGATACCATGGCAGCACAGAGGTTCAGTCAGATGTGATGCGGTAGTTATGGAACGAGTGCTGTGCTGTGCTGTGTGCCATGACCAATGTGCGATGATGTGAGGGAGGTGTGCTTACAGCAGGTGTGCTTACAGCGAGGAGAGTTCTTGCAAAGAAGAGATGCCTTCAGGGATGGAGCCTGAGAGGAGGTTGCGGGAGAGATCCCTGAGGGGGGTGCAGAAATGGGTGGGTGGGAGTATGAAAGAGACTTTAGAGTATGAAACGGGTGCTCAAAAGTAATCTCGATACGATTAGGGATGGAGGGAGGCGTGGGGGGGAGGGGGAGGGGGGGGGGGATGTTTGCAAAAGCGCTGAATGCTGATAGCAGCAGAGAGGAACGTGGGGAGGGAGGAAGAGAGGGGAAAAAAAAGGACATAGGGAGAGAGAGAGGGGAGGAAGGAAGGAAGGCAGGTAAGGAGGGAGAGATTTGATGTTCGTACAAGTGTTGAATGAGAATAAGAGCAGAGAGGGACGCAGGAAGGGTCGACGAGAGGCGGTTGTTGCATGCTGATCTGCGGCTCACAGGGGGGGTATAGAAGAGGGAGGGGTTGGGGTGAGAATGCGGGGAGGGGGGGTTGGAGAATGCAGGGAAGTGGGACGACGAGAGGCGGTTGTTTCTCGCTGAGCTGGGGATTACAGGGGGGAGATAGAAGAGGGAGGGATTGGGGGTGAATGGGGAAGTGAGAATGAGGGCAGTGGGGTTGGAGAGGAAAATGGACGATACGATTCTGAAACGTTTAAAAATGGGAGGATGGATGGCATGTGCGCATTGCAGGTGATGTTGTAGCAGGTTGCCTTAAGGTTCTGTGCAATCAATCGTCTGAGTGACTGAGGAATGAACGGACTGAAGTGCGACGATGAAGGTTGGCTGGACGGATTGGGTGGAGAGGAAGGAGGGAGGGAGTGAGTGCGTGGGGGAGGGAGGGAAGGAGGGAGAGAGGGAGGAGGGAGGGAGGGAGGGGAGGGAGGGAGGGAGGGAGGGAGGGAGGGAGGGAGGGAGGGAGGGAGGGAGGGAGGGAGGGAGGGAGGGAGGGAGGGAGGGAGGGAGGGAGGGAGGGAGGGAGGGAGGGAGGGAGGGAGGGAGGGAGGGAGGGAGGGAGGGAGGGAGGGGAGGAGCAACTGAAGAGCATTGGGGGTTGAAGAGGAGGAGAGGAGGGGCGTTACAGGTATGCGAGGGAGGTGAGACTCCCCAGCGTTGATGGCAGGGATCCGGACAGTGCGTTGTTGTCCAGCGCACTGTGGGGGCATGGGGAAGCATGGGGAGTGTGTGTGCAGGGAGGGAATTCACATAATATAGGGGAGGGAGGAAATTGCCCTCTCTGGAAGGGAGGGCATAGAAATTGCCCTCTTTCTTTCACACGCATTCCCTCAACCTAAGTCCTTGACATGCGTTCAACACGATTGCTCGAAACCACGCATGCACCCATCTGCCTGCAGAGAGCGTTACTCAAGGTGTTCTGTTCTGACACACCTCACGCGTTGCTCTAAGCCTTACAGGTGTCTGAGGGCCGGAAGGGAGAGGGTGGAGGGAATGGACCCTGTCAGCGCGTTGCTCTGTAGTGACCTGCAGCAACGAGCGGGGTGAGAGGGGTGAGAGAGACAAGAAGGGTGAACGGGACAAGAGGAGTGAGCGGGAGAAGAGGGGTGAGAGAGGGAGAAGAGAGGAGAGAGACGGAGAAGAGAGGAGAGAGAGGGAGGAGAGGGGAGAGCGAGGGAGAAGATGGGTGAGAGAGGGAGAGGAGGGGTGAGAGGGAGAAGAGGGGTGAGAGAGAGGGACAAGAGGAAGATACGATGTTTTTGAGAGATCTCGACAAGGACGGGTTGGACCTCGCAACAACGCCCCACAAATATGCTGGAGTTGCTCTTGAGAATTCTCACAAGCAAATCTCCAGAGAATTCTCAAAAGAACATCGCAACAATGCCCTGCAAATGGAGGAAACAAGACGCTCACTCACAGGCGGTAGAGAAGAGAGAGGGTGCCGAGTTGCGATGGGATGGAGCCCGCGATCATGTTGCCCCGCAGGTCACTGTGAGATGAGAGGGAGAGGGGAGAGAGAGAGGGAGGAGAGAGAGAGGGGAGAGAGAGGGGGGAGAGAGAGGGGGAAAGTGAATGTGAGTCTGACTCAAGAGATACTTAGCAAACTTTCCTTACCACCCACAGGGTTCTGAGCTGCTTCATTCAACAGGCCTATGGGCGATGAGTTGGTGTATTCTATATGCGTACCAAACCACACCCCTCATCTTACTACTACCCACAAGGTCCTTCCTGAGCTGCTTCATTCAACAGGCCTATGGATGGGCGATGGGATGGTGTATTTTACACCCTGGGCGATGGGATGGTGTATTTTACACCCTTACCACCAAACCAGACCCCTGAATGTTTTCACCCACAGGGTTCTGAGCTGCTTGAGCAGGCCTATGGACGACGGGATGGATCCGCTCAGGCTGTTGAAGGCAAGAGACCTGCAGAGGAGTATGGCAGGGGGAAAAGGACAGGAGGAGAGAGGGGAGGGAAGGATGTGGAGGGAGATTCTGAGACGCCTCAGATCAGAAACAGCTGAGTCTGTTGAATGCAAGAAAACTGCGGTGGGGTGGAGTGTCGCTGGGGAGGAAGGGAGGGGGGGTTGACTGGAAGCAACATAGTTGCAGTGTCGCTGGAGTGACTTTTTCTGAAGAGCCTCAAACAGTCAATAGATACTCACAGTTGGGTTAGGTTAGTGAGCTTGCCGATAACAGCTGGGATGGAGCCGGTGAGAAGGTTGTAGTCCGCTCGCCTGCAAAGGGGGATGTGGCAGGGTGAGAGGAGAGGGGCGGTGTAACAGGAACGGGGTGTTAATGTTAGCCCTCAATCTCACATTTTGTACTAGTACTTCCCCCATACCCATCCGTGCGCCATGCACACACGGACGGACACCATGCCCCCCCATGTGCTCAATGCTCCCAATGCATGCCACCCCCCACCCCCTGCTACGTCTTACCCTGAACGCATGCCCCCTGTGTTAGAACTGGAGCTTAGAATAGATACATTAGTAATGAGCTTGAAGCTCTTTAAGTACATCCAAAGTGAGCTTGGTATGGATGGTGAGGGAATCGGGGGCAATCCCTAGGGATTGGGGGTAATCCCAAGGCAATCTCCAATTGGTGGGTTGGAGCTTGCTTGGAGATCACATTTGGGTTTGGTTGGGATGTGGGTGTACACCCAACCAAACACAAAGTGCAAACTACACTAAAATAGGAAGGATGCATTGCGGCATGGGTGCATGGTTACACGCACGGGTGCATGGGTGCATGGCAGCATGGGAGCATGGCGGCATGGGGGCATGGTTACATGCACGGGTGCACGGGTGCATGGCAGCGGCATTACAGTGCGGAGAGCGAGGAGAGTGCGGAGATGCCTGCCGGGATGCTGCCCGTGAGCTTGTTCCACTCTATGCTCCTGGGGAGATGTGGGGAAGGAAGGAGAGGGAGAGGGGGAGTGGAACAGGAGGGAGGGGGGTGAATGGAGGAGGGGGGAGAGGGGAGCGCGCAAGAGAGTGCGGAGATGCCTGCAGTGATGCTGCCCGTGATTTTGTTCCACTCTATGCTCCTGGTGGGAGGGCGGGGAGTGTGGAGAAGGGTAAGGAGGGAGCGGAACAAGGTGGGGCGAAGGGGGGTGTGGGGAGGGGGAAGGGAGAGAGGGAGAGAGTGCAGAGAGGGGTATGAGACCTTGAGTCGACTCAAAAAGGGGGCGGTGGTCCGGTGGAAGTAGCATCCCACTCTTAGTCCTTTCTTTTTGTTCTACACAATCGCACCGACTAAAACCGTACGACAAAACTGATCGATAGCATTCGCACCGAGCAGAATCGGACCATACGAAACGAATCAGATCGGATCTCACAGAATCTTGAGCTTCGAGAGCGTGGTGAGCCAGGGAGGCAGCGAGCAGGAGAGGTTGTTGCGGCCGAGATGCAGATTGACCAGCGCGGTTAGAGTGGCTAGGGCGGGTGGGAGCGGACAGGAGAGGTTGGAGGAGACCGAGCTGTGTAAGGGGGATGGGGCGCGTGTGGGGTCGGTGGGGGGCGTGGGGTGCAGAGGGGAGCAGTGGGAAAAGGGTTCTTGCGGCCGAGATGGAGAGTGAGTGGAGAGGTGGAGGTGGTGAGAGAGGATGGGAGTGCGCAGGAGAGATTCGATGCGACGTACCTGCATGGGAAGATGAATAACGATAGATGACTGGGAAAGGGGAATGGGAGGAGAGGGCTGAAGCTACTGCAATGGGCTATTGGGTATCAAGCAGCAGAGGAGTGATGGGAGTGGCAGCGCGGTGCAGAGCGGTGGAAGGGGACACTCACAGGGTGGTGAGAGCAGTGAGATTGCCGATTGTAGTGGGGAGAGTGCCTGTGACGCTGTAAAGGAGACTGGTGGGGGAAAGAGGGCGGGGAGGGGAGAGAGTGGGGAGGGAGAGGGTGGGTGAGTGGAGAGTATGGGGAATGAAATGTCCGGAAAGCGGATTGCAGTGGGGAGAGTGGGAAGGGAGACGGTGAGTGAGAGGAGAGTATGGGGAGAGAGAGGGCGGAGAGGGGAACGAGAAGCGAGGGGGTGGGGAGAGGGGACTCACGCAGGGAGACACACGTGTGAGAAGTTGAGAACGCATGTAAGGTGCACAGAACAGCTCGTGAGGTGCCTTCAAAAGAGAAGAAGAGAAAGAAGAGAGCACAATCAGCACTCACAGGGAGGTCACGCTGCCATACTCGTCGCACCCCACCCCGTACAGGTCATCGCAGCTCTCCCGGGACCTCCACAGCCCCTTGGGCGTGCGCGAGACAGGCACTGTGAAGTTGAGCTCGGCGCGCAGTGACAGCAGCGCGGCCCCTGGGGGGCGCAGGTGGAGGGGGAGGGTTGGGGGGCGGGGGAAGAAGGAGGAAGGGTGGGGAGAAAGGAACAGGGCGCCTTGGGCGTGCGCGATGCAGATGCAGTGAAGTTCTACTCCGCGCGCAGAGACAGCAGCGCGTTTGCGTTCGATGCGGCGGGCGCGGGATGGGGGAGAAGGGGGAGGAACCGCGGAATGGGGGAGAAGGGGGAGGAACCGCGGGATGGGGAGGAGGGAGGGAGAGGGGGGCGGGAGGAGTAATGGGGGAAAGGAGTCGGGGAGGGAAGGAATTGGGGAGGGACAGAAAAAGGGAATGCAGAGGAGGAGCGGACGTGTCAGCGACAAGGGCATGGCCGGGAGAAAAAGCGCGCGCATTGAAAAAGCGCGCATAGTCTATTTTTAGGCGCCTCGGATTCAGCGCGCAATTAAAGCACGACAAGCGCACATTTTCCGGCGACAGCGTAGCAAGAATGACGATCGTTAGTTTCGCCGACTTACAGTCGTTATGGTTGACGGCGACGGCGCTTGCGCGGCCGCAGAAGCCGCCATACACGCTCGCGACGAGCAGGAGCGCGAGCGTCGCCGCTAAGCGCGCCGACAGACGCGAGCCGCGGGTTACCGCTCCGGCGCAGCGGAATGCCGGCGGGGGGGGAGTTCCACCCCGCGCGGAGCAGCAGGTCATGGCGGAAGAGGTGAGCGCCGTGGCGCGGGGAAAGATTTCCGCGGAACCTGGGGAACACCGCGAGCGGAAAGCGCTTTTCTGGGGAAGGGCGGAGTACGCCCACGGGGAAGAATACGCGGAAAGATCTCCGCGGATGGAGAGGGGGAGGCGCTGAAAACGCTGCGCGGCTGCGGCATTGAATCTGTCGCCGCGAGAACTTGCCATGATCCTGTGCGCGGGAAGCGCATCAGCCCGCAGCGCGCGGTGGAGTGTAAGCGCCGGTTCTAAGTCAGCAGATTGCCTTGCACTAGTAGGCGACTACAATTTCGCCGATGCCGCTGTCGTCCAGACTCGCGGGCTGCGACATCTTGCGACAGTTCGCGAGACAAATCACGGTATGCGACAAGACATCGCCGCGCGTGAAGAAACCCGCGAACCCTATATGCGAAGGACTTCTCAGTGAAAGCTCGCCGGAAAAGCGCGCTACTTCTCGAGTCGGCAATGCAAGCCTCTGGAAGATCGCCAAGCCAGCGCTAAAATCGACGACGTACTAAATTGTATAGTGCTAAGGAAAATCCTAAAATCACTAAATCTCAGCTTGTCGGGACTTAGTAGCACTGCTCTGGTCTTGTGAACTGGTTACTGACGACGCCACGTTCGTCGGCTGCGCATTTTGCGGCCTTCTATCAACACGGCGATCGCGCCCAGACTGCGGGAATGAAAGGCGGCCCTTTGAAGCTTACGCTTCGAGCGCTTCGGATGAGTTTATGTTGCGGTTCGCGTGGCAGCTGTGGCTGTCGTTTGAGACGAGGGGCGGAATTCCTGGGCTAGGTGTGCAGTTAGTCCGGAGCGCGGAAGAAAACTTTGTACGGAATAGGGAAGTGGAGGGAGGGATGCTGTGAGACACATCACGCAGGACGGTGTAGTGTGGTTTGTTGTGGTGCGGTGTGGCGTTTTATTCCTTACACAAAAGAGTAGGGTGCTTTACACAATCAATCGGTGGTGGAGGATTAATTGCCGCTATCATACTGCACCGACATATCAGTCTCTGAACCGTACTGAGATGCGTCCGATCATCGGAGCAATACTGACTACAGAACTGCCCTCAAGGGAATCAAACATTTTTCTGAACCTGGACGAAACGTGTTTCATTCTCTTTGTGAAGGGCTATAACACGGTTTGCTATGGTTCAAAGTGGTACCCGTTCCAAGTCGAACAGGCATCCCCCACACACCCGTCTTCTCTTCTCACTCAAGCTCACGCGATCACAGAACAACCGCAAAATCGCAGCCTACAGGTGAAGTGGTGAGGGGTTTACCACTGTTTTGTCGCTTGTGGTCTGGCTTGGGGCTATTTCTGCTAGCGACGAGTTGATGGTGTGGTGCTGGAGGTGGTGCTTGCGTGGAAAAAAATCGGATCGGCGGTTTGTTGTGACTGTGGTGAAGCCAGCTGGCGGACAACTGCAAACCGAGCAGGACAATATATGTCCAGGACCATAGTTTTGTAATACACCTTCATTCTCACCTTTCTCACCGTTGGAAGCACTGGCTACAGTGTTTGGACGTAGCGGGCTGGTGCGATAACTCGGTGCGGGCAAAGTCGCACGACGTGACGAACAAGCCTCGGCCCACCCTAAACCGTTTTCCCTGAATAACTGTCTTAACCGTTCAAAGTATACCAGTACCATTCTAGAACGTATTCAAACTTGACTAAACGCCTTTGGTCAAATTGTCACTATAACGTATGTGATAGGATCTTCTTTGGTCCGGTGCGGCTACACTAAGCGTCTCCGTCAGTATAACATATGCCAGTCTATCGAGAATGAGAGTGTATACGTGTATCACTATAGCTGTAACTCGTCGTAACGCTGTTCGCTGTGCCACAGGTTTTCGCACACCAACAGCCAGCCTACCATCCCCACCTTTTTCTGAACTTGGAGCACACGTGTCGAACAACGGACCAACCAAAGTTTTCGTCAATCACACGCGATCGCACGTGTACCTGGTGTTGTGAGTAGGCGAAAAATTGCGATAGCGCATCAGGCGGGCAGCCGTTATCGTGTGCCGTCGTCCCACAACTGACACTTGTCGCACAGCCGCGTTCCAATAACGGTTCAGGCGACGTTAGTTTGTCTCGCGGAAGCCTCACGAAAAATCCGGACCGCATTTCAAGGCGCCTCATGTTTAGCCAAAACTGATGGTATGATATTGGTTGCTAGATATTCAGCGCTGCTTGCACCATGCAACCAGAAACGTGCTGTGAAATGCGGGAGGTGCGCAGCGAAGGAGAAACGTCAATATCGCACGCGCGGCGGAGGTCGCGCCGCGGCAAATGGCGGGAGGCGGAACGAGAGCGGGTGATGTGCGGATTGAGGCGGTCCTTTCCGCCTGGCGCGGGGATGACGGGGCTTCTTGTGGTGCTATGCGCGGCCATTTTCCCGCTTCTTCCGCGCGTGGGCGCAGTGCCCATGAGCGCAAGCACCAGTGAGCGCGGGCAGGCGGAGAGCTGCGCGCGGAGCGGGGTGCGGGGGAACGGGGGAAAGGGGGGAAGGGGAGCTAGGAAGCGGAGGGTGTCGGATGTTAGAAAGGTTATTGACAACTCTCAGTAACCAATTTCGAGGCGCTTTAAAACGCGTCTGAAAACTATCTGTTACAAGGAGGAGAGTGCGGAGGTGGGAGGTGGGGGGTGTCGCAGGCTGGGAGAAGGAGGGGCAAGGGGAGAGCAAAGGAACGCACGGGGAGGGGAAAGGGACAGGATGACAGGATGGGTGGAGAGGTCCGGGGGAACCAGGGCAGTGAGGGGGGACGGAAGAGACGCAGCTGAGGAGGCTGCATACACACCAGCCATCCATCTCCCGACCCCCCTCCCCCCTTAACTCCCCATCCTTCTCTATCTTCCCCCTCATTCGACACCCTTCGCACCATTAAGGCGTCTCTCCGCGTGGGCAGTGGGCAACACGGCATGCACTCTCACCTCACCGCCATCCATACCCCATTCCCTTCCCCCCTGCTGTCCCATTCGTACCTTCCCCCTGCCTCCCCCGCCTCCTGCTGCCCCCTTTGGACCTTCCCCCTGTCTCTGCCGCCCAGTGGGCCCCCACTCCTTTCACTCTCCACCTCCTCCTCACTTCCCCCACTCCCCTCACTCCGCATCCCCTTCCCCTCACTCCGCATCCCCTTCCCCTCACTCCGCATCCCCTTCCCCTCACTTCCCCTTCTCCCCCAACTCTTCCCCCAACTCTTCCCCCAACTCTTCCCCCAGTCGTCACCCGTCTCCCCATCAAGTTATCGCTCGGCGTGACTCGCACCACCCATCCATCCCACCCACCTCCCTGCTGCCCCCCTCCTCTGCCTCCCCTTGCCTCCCCCCTCCCCTCTTCCCCAGTCGACACCCTTCTGATCATCAAGTCATCGCTCGGCGTCACTCTCACCACGTGGGCAGCGGGCAACACGGCATGCACGCTCACCACCCACTCTTCTCCTCCTTCCCCGCGCACAACCCCTTGCCCTTTCGTCCCCTCCCCCCTCCCCCCCCCCCCCTCCACTCTCCCCTCCCCCCCAGTCGACACTCTTCTAATCATCAAGTCATCGCTCGGCGTCACCCTCACCACGTGGGCAGCGGGCAACACGGGATGCACACTCACCACCCAGACGCAGCAAGCGGGGGAGTGGACGGGCGTGCTCTGCTTGCCTTCCGGGGATGTGCGCCAGATGTGCGTGTGTGTCGGTGTGTCGATGTGTCAGTGTGTCTTTGTGTGCGTGTGCGGGTGTGCGTGTGTGGGTGTGGGTGTGTGGGTGTGGGTGTGTGGGTGTGGGTGATGCATGTGTGTGTGTGTGTGACACTGCATGTATGCCAGGCGCAGCAAGTGGGGGAGTGGATGGGCGTGTGTTCTGCTCACCCTCAAGGGATGTGCGTGCGGGTGTGTCGGTGTGTGTGTGCGCGCGGGGTGATGCATGTTTGTTCTGCCCACCCTCAAGCGATGTGCGCCAGATGTGCGTGGGCATGTGCGTGTGTAGGGTGCATGGATGCATGGATGTATGAGTGTGGGGCGATGCGATGCATTGGATGGATGTGTGCGAAAAGTACACATCCATCCAATGCTTTGCCTTGCACTGCATGCATTCTCTCCCAGTGCCTCCTCTCCTCAGCGCCTTTTCTATGCCCCGCCCTGCAGCAACCTGGGAAATCGGAAGCTGACTCATGTCGCCTCCCCTCTGTCTGTCCCTTGCAGTGCAGCGACCTGGGGAATCAGGAGCTGGATGGAAGCAAACTCATGTCGGAACAACAGCAAATCCTCAAGAGGACGCAATTTCATTTCATGGCTCCCCTTTGTCTCCTCCACGCCTCCTCTCTCTCCCTTGCAGCGACCTGGAGAATCAGAAGCTGACAGGAAGCATCCCAAAGGAAATCTCCAAGCTCACTGCGCTCAATCACATGTACGTCATGCCATGTCATGCTGACTCACATGTACGTCATGCCATGTCATGCTGACTCACGTGTACGCCATGCTGACACGTCTTTCGGCCAAGCCAACTCAATTCTGTAAGGCTTAGCTCAGGTGACTCAAAAGAGAAACAAGAAAATGCCCACATGAGCCAAGCTGGTGTACCCGCCTCCCCCTCCCCACCCCATCCTCCCCACCTCTTCCACCCCCCCACCTCTCTCCCCCTTCCCTGCCCGTTCCCCGCTTCCTCCCGCACCTATAAAACCCCCTTCGTTCCTGTGGTCCCCCTCCTCCTCTGTTCTTCCCCGCAGAGGCCAGCCAGGGTGCGAACCTCTTTGTATCAGTTCAACGGCTCGCCGTGTTCTTCGTCTATTCTAGGCACCTTAGAACCCCCTTTCCCCTTCGTTCATGTGCTTCCCTTCCCCCACCCTTCCCCCTCGTGCTCCCTCCCCACCCCAGAGGCCTGGGCACGAACCTCTTTGTGCAACGGTTAGCCGCGTTCACATCCAACCTGCTGCCGCTCACCGCCCTCGCTGACCTGTGCGTGGGCTGCACGTGTGCTCTTGTGATGGGCTGTGCTGTGCCATTGCCATGTATGACTGTCGGTTGTGTGTGTGCGGCTGTGACATGACATGTTCACATCTATCCTGCTGTTTCCCTTCCCCTCACCACCCTTGCTGACCTGTGCGTGCTGCTCTCGTGCTGCTCTCGTGCTGTGCTGCTCATGTGATGCTCTTGAGTTACCTTAGGAGTGTATATGTGCATATATTCTTGCTCATTTAAACTCCATCTTCTGTTATCAATGCTTATGGTCCTTCCTACTCCTTTCTTTCTGCCGCCCTTTTTCCTGCTTGGGTCATCACCCTCCCCCTCTATCCCCGTTATAGGCATATTCACCAGAACTGGCTATATGGCACCATACCCGCAGCCCTCATTGCCCTTCCCAACCTCTACTGGATGTAAGTCGAATGTTTAGCAGGAGTAAAAGATTCATTCAATTCCTTGTTTGCTCCTTCTGTAATCTGGTAACTATATATGCTTATGGACACCCCCCCCCCCCACTCAACCTCCCCTGCCCCTGTCCCCCCACCTCCATCTTCCTCCCTCAACGTAAAGCCCCAACTCCTTTGCATCCACCTCACTTGTGACAAGTCTCAAAATGAACCTTTCCCGGCACCTGGCGTTTGAGGCGCCTCAAAAACCCCCGTCCCACCCACCCAACCCCCCTCCCCACCCCCTTCCCCCTGCCCTCCCCCCTCCCTCCTTACAGCAAGTTCTTTCGCAATTACCTCACAGGAACCTTCCCAGCCCCCGGCCCGGCCTTCAGATACATCCATCTGCAACACAACTTCCTCTCGCGATCCGTTCCGCCTCACTCCGCAACTTATTGCACCGCCTGTTTTTTGAGAATTCTCAAAAAACATACCCTCACTCCGCAACTTATTGCACCGCCACCAGCAACTTTTTCGTTCTTCTCCCAAACTCTCCCCTCTTCCCATCCAACTCGCCCTGCCCTTCCCCTCACCCTGCAGCAAATTCTTCCGCAACTATCTAACCGGAACCTTCCCAACTCCCGGCCCTGCCCTTAACCCCCCTTAACCCCATCCCATTCCCTCCCCCGCCCTCCCCCTGCAGCAAATTCTTTCGGAACTACCTCACAGGGACCTTCCCAGCCCCTGGCCCCGCCCTGAAATTCATCAACCTGCAACACAACTTCCTCTCAGGCCCCTTCCCTCCGTCTCCCCCCCATCCCGCTCTGCCCTCCCCCTCCCCTGCAGCAAATTCTTCCGCAACTATCTAACCGGAACCTTCCCAGCCCCCGGCCCGGCCCTCAACTTCCCTCACCTCCATTCCCTCCCCATCCCTCCCCCTGCAGCAAGTTCTTCCGCAATTACCTCACAGGGACCTTCCCAGCCCCCGGCCCCGCCCTCAAATACATCGACTTGCAACACAACTTCCTCTTCGGATCCTTCCCTTTTGTGCCCTCTCCCTCCCCTGCCCTTTCCCTCCCCCTGCAGCAAGTTTTTCCGCAACTACCTCACAGGGACCGTCCCAGCCCCCGGTCCCGCCCTGAAATTCATCGACCTGCAACACAACTTCCTCTCAGGCTCCTTCCCCCCCCACTCCGCCACCTACTGCACCGCCACCAGCAACTGCTTCTCCCAGGCCTCCCTCTGCAACACCACCGCCACCACTCAACGCACCCCTACCTCCTGCTCCATCTGCAACGTAACCATGGCGGCGGATGCTGCAGGTGCAGGGTGGGTGGTACCTGCAGCAGGGTCCTCCCAGGTGCTATGCGGGGGAGGGTCATGTGCGCCAAACGCCTCAGTCCCGGCCAGCCAGGGCGCGCCGTATACCTCCTCATCTCCGCTGCTGCCGATGTTCTGCGCTCTGATCGGCATGGCCTCGGGATCGTCTCAAGCCATGCTCGCTCTCAAGTCTTCCCTGGGAGTGACTCTCTCCTCCTGGGCCTCTGTCCCTACTGCGACTGTCATGGGGGTTGTTTCGACCTCTGCCTCCTTCCCCACCGCCTCCTCGCCCTCCCTGGCGTATCTCTGCCCGGTGGCTGGTGCCTTGGCGGCTCCCATGCCGGCGACTGCAGCTGCGAGTGCATGGAAGGGCGTGGAGTGTAATTCAGCCGGGGCAGTTGTGAAGATGTGAGTGTAAAGTGCAGATGTCCTTTTCCTCCTCTTCGCCCTTCTGAAAATGCTGGAAGGTTGTTGTGCTACTGCAGCAATCTCAACCAACCGTCCATCTCCTCTCACCTTCCCCGCCCCTTCTCTCCGCTTGTTGTTGCAAACCTACCACTCCCATGCACCACACCACAGCAACCTCAACCGCCAGGGCCTCATCGGAACCGTCCATTCGACAATCTCCAAGTTGACTGCACTCACATACATGTACGTTGCATGTGCATGTGTCTATATATGCATGCGTATGTGCCTATACATGCATGTACATGTGTCTATACATGCATGTGCATGTGTCTATACATGCATGCGCATGTGCCTATACATGCATGTACATGTGTCAATACATGCATGTGCATGTGTCTATACATGCATGCGCATGTGCCTATACATGCATGCGCATGTGCCTATACATGCATGCGCATGTGCCTATACATGCATGCGCATGTGCCTATACATGCATGCGCATGTGCCTATACATGCATGCGCAAGTGCCTATACATGCATGCGCATGTGCCTATACATGCATGCGCATGTGCCTATACATGCATGGGCATGTGCCTATACATGCATGTGCCTGTGTCTATACATGCATGGGCATGTGCCTATACATGCATGCGCATGTGTCTCTACATTCATGCGCATGTGTATAAACAAACATTTGCATAGACACACGCATGCTTGCGCACACATATACTATCTATGTACGCATGCATGCCCGCGCATGCATGCAATGCAGCGTATGAGCGTGCGGTGCAGCGTATGAGCGTGCGGGGCAGCGTATGAGGGTGCGGTGCAGCGTATGAGCGTGCGGTGCAGCGTATGAGCGGGCGGTGCAGCGTATGAGCGGACGGTGCAGCGTATGAGCGGACGGTGCAGCGTATGAGCGGGCGGTGCAGCGTATGAGCGTGCGGTGCAGCGTATGAGCGTGCGGTGCAGCGTATGAGCGGGCGGTGCAGCGTATGAGCGTGCGGTGCAGCGTACGAGCGGGCGGTGCAGCGTATGAGCGTGCCGTGCAGCGTATGAGCGTGCGGTGCAGCGTATGAGCGTGCGGTGCAGCGTATGAGCGTGCGGTGCAGCGTATGAGCGGGCGGTGCAGCGTATGAGCGGGCGGTGCAGCGTATGAGCGTGCGGTGCAGCGTATGAGCGTGCGGTGCAGCGTATAAGCGGGCGGTGCAGCGTATGAGCAGGCGGTGCAGCGTATGAGCGGGCGGTGCAGCATATGAGCGTGCGATGCAGCGTATGAGCGTGCGGTGCAGCGAATGAGCGTGCGGTGCAGCGTATGAGCGGGCGGTGCAGCGTATGAGCAGGCGGTGCAGCGTATGAGCGGGCGGTGCAGCGTATGAGCGTGCGATGCAGCGTATGAGCGTGCCGTGCAGCGTATGAGCGTGCGGTGCAGCGTATGAGCGTGCGGTGCAGCGTATGAGCGTGCGGTGCAGCGTATGAGCGGGCGGTGCAGCGTATGAGCGGGCGGTGCAGCGTATGAGCGTGCGGTGCAGCGTATGAGCGTGCGGTGCAGCGTATAAGCGGGCGGTGCAGCGTATGAGCAGGCGGTGCAGCGTATGAGCGGGCGGTGCAGCATATGAGCGTGCGATGCAGCGTATGAGCGTGCGGTGCAGCGAATGAGCGTGCGGTGCAGCGTATGAGCGGGCGGTGCAGCGTATGAGCAGGCGGTGCAGCGTATGAGCGGGCGGTGCAGCGTATGAGCGTGCGATGCAGCGTATGAGCGTGCCGTGCAGCGTATGAGCGTGCGGTGCAGCGTATGAGCGTGCGGTGCAGCGTATGAGCGTGCGGTGCAGCGTATGAGCGGGCGGTGCAGCGTATGAGCGGGCGGTGCAGCGTATGAGCGTGCGGTGCAGCGTATGAGCGTGCGGTGCAGCGTATAAGCGGGCGGTGCAGCGTATGAGCAGGCGGTGCAGCGTATGAGCGGGCGGTGCAGCATATGAGCGTGCGATGCAGCGTATGAGCGTGCGGTGCAGCGAATGAGCGTGCGGTGCAGCGTATGAGCGGGCGGTGCAGCGTATGAGCAGGCGGTGCAGCGTATGAGCGGGCGGTGCAGCGTATGAGCGTGCGATGCAGCGTATGAGCGTGCGGTGCAGCGAATGAGCGTGCGGTGCAGCGTATGAGCGGGCGGTGCAGCGTACGAGCGTGCGGTGCAGCGTATGAGCGGGCGGTGCAGCGTATGAGCGGGCGGTGCAGCGTATGAGCGTGCGGTGCAGCGTATGAGCGTGCGGTGCAGCGTATAAGCGGGCGGTGCAGCGTATGAGCAGGCGGTGCAGCGTATGAGCGGGCGGTGCAGCATATGAGCGTGCGATGCAGCGTATGAGCGTGCGGTGCAGCGAATGAGCGTGCGGTGCAGCGTATGAGCGGGCGGTGCAGCGTATGAGCAGGCGGTGCAGCGTATGAGCGGGCGGTGCAGCGTATGAGCGTGCGATGCAGCGTATGAGCGTGCGGTGCAGCGAATGAGCGTGCGGTGCAGCGTATGAGCGGGCGGTGCAGCGTACGAGCGTGCGGTGCAGCGTATGAGCGGGCGGTGCAGCGTATGAGCGGGCGGTGCAGCGTATGAGCGTGCGGTGCAGCGTATGAGCGTGCGGTGCAGCGTATGAGCGGGCGGTGCAGCGTATGAGCAGGCGGTGCAGCGTATGAGCGGGCGGTGCAGCATATGAGCGTGCGATGCAGCGTATGAGCGTGCGGTGCAGCGAATGAGCGTGCGGTGCAGCGTATGAGCGGGCGGTGCAGCGTATGAGCAGGCGGTGCAGCGTATGAGCGGGCGGTGCAGCGTATGAGCGTGCGATGCAGCGTATGAGCGGGCGGTGCAGCGTATGAGCGTGCGATGCAGCGTATGAGCGTGCGGTGCAGCGAATGAGCGTGCGGTGCAGCGTATGAGCGGGCGGTGCAGCGTACGAGCGTGCGGTGCAGCGTACGAGCGGGCGGTGCAGTGCATGAGCGGGCGGTGCAGCGTATGAGGGGGCGGTGCAGCGTATGAGGGGGCGGTGCAGCGTATGAACGTGCGGTGCATGCATGGTATGTATGTATGTATGTACGCACGCCCGCACACACACTATCATGTGTGCCCTCCTTTGTGTGTCATTCGCCACAATCTCATTCTGTTGTCTCATGCTCTCGTCTCATGCTCTCATCTCATTCGCTCGTCTCATGCTTGCCATGCTCTCTCTCTCACTCGCCTCCCTTTCCATGCGCTCTCTTCATGCCAGCCCCTTTACATGCTCGCTATCCCACCCACACCAACCCCAGGGACCTCGGCTGAAACCTCTTTCAGGCGCGCCTCTCTACAGTCGCGCAACATACATCCGTCTTTCTTTCTCGTACCTTCACCCCGCTTTCCACCACCCTTCCATATTCTCGCACCCACACCACTCTCTCACATGGACCTCAGCTCAGTTACAACCTGTTTCACATGCCATCCCTCCTTCCACCCCCCGTCACATCCTCTCCCACCCACACCACCCCCAGGGACCTCGGTTACAGCCTCTTTCAGGCACGCCTTTCCACGTTCATCTCTCCCCTCACTGCCTTACGCGCATCTCATGGTTTCCATCCTCTCCCCTCTTCCAACCCCCAGCGACCTCGGTTACATTACAACCTCTTGCAAGTGCGCCTCTCCACATTCTTTGCACATGCCATCTTTCTCCTCTCTCACATGCCATCCCTCCTTCCACCAACCCCTTTCCATCCTCTCCCCTCTTCCAACCCCTTTCCATCCTCTCCCCTCTTCCAACCCCTTTCCATCCTCTCCCCTCTTCCAACCCCTTTCCATCCTCTCCCCTCTTCCAACCCCTTTCCATCCTCTCCCCTCTTCCAACCCCTTTCCATCCTCTCCCCTCTTCCAACCCCTTTCCATCCTCTCCCCTCTTCCAACCCCTTTCCATCCTCTCCCCTCTTCCAACCCCTTTCCATCCTCTCCCCTCTTCCAACCCCTTTCCATCCTCTCCCCTCTTCCAACCCCTTTCCATCCTCTCCCCTCTTCCAACCCCTTTCCATCCTCTCCCCTCTTCCAACCCCTTTCCATCCTCTCCCCTCTTCCAACCCCTTTCCATCCTCTCCCCTCTTCCAACCCCTTTCCATCCTCTCCCCTCTTCCAACCCCTTTCCATCCTCTCCCCTCTTCCAACCCCTTTCCATCCTCTCCCCTCTTCCAACCCCTTTCCATCCTCTCCCCTCTTCCAACCCCTTTCCATCCTCTCCCCTCTTCCAACCCCTTTCCATCCTCTCCCCTCTTCCAACCCCTTTCCATCCTCTCCCCTCTTCCAACCCCTTTCCATCCTCTCCCCTCTTCCAACCCCTTTCCATCCTCTCCCCTCTTCCAACCCCTTTCCATCCTCTCCCCTCTTCCAACCCCTTTCCATCCTCTCCCCTCTTCCAACCCCTTTCCATCCTCTCCCCTCTTCCAACCCCCAGGGACCTGGGTTACAACCTCTTTCACGCGCGTCTCCTCACATTCGTCTCGACCCTCACTGCCTTGTCGTCCCTCAAAGACCTGTGAGTGTTTTGCTCATTCATACCAAGGCAGAAGTTCTGTGCTCTGTGTGTGTGTGTGCGATGAGTGCTGTGACTGTTCCGTTGAAGGGTGGCCTATGGGCTTTCTCCTCACTGCCTTGTTGTCCCACAACTCCGGAACACATTCGCCCTCACATTCGCCCTTTTTACGCGACTCACAAGTCACATTAGCCTCTCTCCTCACTGCCTTGTTGAGTCGACTCAAAAGTCAGGAACTTTAGAGAATTCTCAATAGTATGACCTGTTATTCTTACTGAGCACGTTACAATCGTCCTCTACGCATTTCGCCTGTCCCTCCCTTGTACTCGCTACAGGTTCCTTCACTATAACTGGTTCATCGGCTCTATCCCGTCGTCACTCTTCGCCCTACCGTCACTTACAGGCCTGTATGTGAGGGTGAGGCCGTGCAAGGAAAACCTAAGACCTTTTTTAAGTCAGTTGACTCACACGCGGTTTGAATCAAGACAGAACACCTCTCAAAACCTTTTTATGAGTTGACTCACGAATAGTCCTGATACCTTTTGAGACCTTGTTTCCTGATTGGTTCTTCAGTCGACTTAAAGATAGAACGTTTTCCCTTTCTGTTCTTGCTTCCCTGCCCCACAGGCCTCCTCTCTGTCATCAGCCGATGGCGTGTCTTACCTAATCTCTCCATCATCAGCCGATGACGTGTCTTAGCAAAGGGGGGAGAGCAGCAGCAGCTAGGATGGCGCTCAACCGAATCTAAATCGTGTTCCCTTTTTTTCCCACTTTTTTTCCTTTTTGTTTTCCCTCCCCCCCCCAGAGGCCTCTTCTCCAACTACCTCACGGGCACCATCCCTCCCATCCCCTCATCCTCTCCAGCTCTCTCCCTTCACACTCCCTCCGATTTGGTCACGTGGGCTGGGCGGGCAGAAGCAAAGAGAAATCTTGTGAGAGAGGATTCATGCGTGTCTTTCCTTCCTTTCCACTCTCCCCTCCACCCCAGAGGTCTCTTTTCCAACTATCTCACGGGCACCATCCCTCCCATCCCCTCATCCCTCGTGGGCCTTGACGTTGCTTACAACTTCCTCTCCGGCTCGCTCCCTCCACACTCCCTCAAATTCTGCGCCGCCGAGAACAACTGCTTCTCCTCCTCCCTCTCCTCCTCGTGCAATTTCTACGGAACGAAGCAGAGGGCAGCAGCGGAGTGTGCTGTGTGTGGGATGGGTGATGCTGTTGCAGGAGGGAGTGTGTGCTGGGATGGTGTGTGCTCAGCAGACGCTGCAGCAGCTGCCTCTCAGGGCATTCCCAATGGGCCCACGCGGCCCACTCTTGCCATGACCTGCGTTGGTGCGTATATTGCAAGAATGGGAGGCGTGTGTGCTGGGATGCGTGTGTGCTGGGATGCGTGTGTGCTGGGATGCGTGTGTGCTGGGATGTGTGTGTGCTGGGATGCGTGTGTGCTGGGATGCGTGTGTGCTGGGATGCGTGTGTGCTGGGATGCGCCGTGTGCTGGGATGTGTGTGTGCTGGGATGCGTGTGTGCTGGGATGCGTGTGTGCTGGGATGCGTGTGTGCTGGGATGCGCCGTGTGCTGGGATGCGGCGTGTGCTGGGATGCGGCGTGTGCTGGGATGCGTGTGTGCTGGGATGCGGGGTGTGCTGGAATATGGCGTGTGTGCTGGGAGGCGGGTGTGCTGGGATGCGGGTTGTGCTGGAATATGGGTGTGTTGGGTTGCTGAGTGTGCTGGGATGCGCCGGGTGCTGGGATGCTGTGTGTGCACGCACCCACCTCTTCCCATATCCGTGCTGCTGCACGTTCAAAACAGCCTTTCAAAAAGCTATGCGTTCTCCTCCCTCTCCTTCCCATGTGTTTCCTGCTCCTGCTGTTTGTTCCGTCGCCTCAAAAGTATGTTTTGTCATGTTTCTTTCATCTCTATTTGTGCAAACGGCTCCTCATCATGCTTCCCTTCTCTTCCCTTGCATCCCTTGCATGTGTGTGTGTTATGTGTGCCTTCATGCGTACCTCTGCTTGTTCCCACCAGGCTCAACTGTCGTTTCCATCCGCTCCTCCTCCTGTGAGTATCCCTCTTACTGCCCCTCCTCCCATTCGCCCGTCTTCTTCCTGACTGCCCCTCCCAACTGCCCCTCCCAACTCAACTGCCCCTCCCAACTCAACTGCCCCTCCCCCAACTGCCCCTCCCAACTGCCCCTCCCAACTGCCCCCCCTCATGCGTGTGCCATGCGTGCCTCAATGTTGGTGTTACTTGTCCGTCCGCCCTTGCAATCTCCTCCTCCTGCTCCTCTCCCTCCTCCTCCACCCTCGGAGTGACCCACACAACATGGCTCGCAGGCGTGCCCTGTGCCGCTCATCCCTCTCCCTTCCCCATCCCCTCTCCTCTTAACTCCCCTCCCATCAACATCCCCCATCCACATCCCCTCTTCTTCCACCCACATCCCGCGCAGCATCTGCCCTCCTGGCCCTCAAGTCGTCGGTCGGAGTGACCCACACAACATGGGTGTCAACCGTGCCTTGTGCCATTGTCACTCTTCCCTACCCATCTCTTCCCTACCCATCTCTTCCCTGTGCCGGTCATCCCTCTCCCTTCCTCCTTCCCCGCCACCCACCCACACAGCATCTGCTCTCCTGGCCCTCAAGTCGTCGCTCGGAGTGACCCACACAACATGGGTCTCAAGCATGCCCTGTGCCATGATCACTCTTCCCTACCCATCTTCCCTCTCCCTTTCATCATCCTCCCTTCTGCCTCCCTTCAGCATCTGCTCTCCTGGCCCTCAAGTCAACCCTGGGAGTGACCCACACAACATGGGTCTCAAGCATGCCCTGTGCCATTGATGGCACCAACCCGTGGCCTGGCCAGACATGGTCGGGCGTGCGCTGTGATGCCACGGGCAATGTGACTTTCCTGTAAGCACGCCCCCTACCTATAACCATGTGACCCACCACTCCTCTTGGGATCCTATCCTCTCCACTCCTCTCCACTCCTCTCCACTCCTCTCCTTTTTAGTGTTTTTCATTTGTTGAATGAAGCAAGCCTGAAACCTCCTTACTCTTTTGAATTCACCCATCCACCCCCTCACGTCCACCTCCCTCCCCTTCCGCCCTGGCAGGGACTTGAGCTATCAGCAGCTGAAAGGGTCCCTCCATTCAGACATCAGCAAACTCACTACTCTCACTCACCTGTAAGGCTTTGCTTGTAGGCTCACTGCTCACTGCTCACTGCTCACTGCTCACTGCTCACTGATCGAACTGGAGCTGAACTGATTGATTGATAAGGAAGGCACTAGGCCTTAAGTACAAACAAGGTTGGGTTGAGCAAAGCTAGGGAAAGGATGGGATGGGAATCCTAACAAATCTCCAATTGGTGAGTTGGCAGATTTGCAGGATTACGAGGGAATCCCAACCAGATAGGGTTGGGATTACAAATCTACATCCAACCTACAAAGTAACCTAATCGATATAGAATATAGTACCTTGACAGCCTATTTCTAACACTCACTGCTCACTGCTCACTGCTCACTACCCTCTCACTCTTCAACTGTCAGTCAGCTATCAGCAGCTGAACGGGTCCCTCCATTCAGACATCAGCAAGCTCACCACTCTCACTCACCTGTAAAGCGCGTCATGCGTATGCCTGCAGGTGCGTGTGCATGCAATGCACCCATGCATGTGGGGTGCGTGCATGGACACATGCACAAGTGATGTGCATACACACGTGCAGTGCATGCATTCTCCTATTTCCGTGCGCAATTTCATGTATGTGCACATACACCGCGTATGCATGTACTCTTAATCTCAAGTATATTCTGTTTTCCCCAGAGAAGCCTGGCGTCCTGCAGGAGTCTCAATCAATGCCTTGCTCTTCAGAACATCGTTTCAGGAACCTTATATATCATCTCTTTGCATCCACTTGCAATTCTTTCCACAGTAGCCTCCATGCCAACCTCTTCTGGATGCCGCTCAGAAGCATATTCTCCCCCCTTTCCACCCTCACCAACCTGAAGACTCTGTGAGTGTGCCATGCATAATCAGCATATTCAACATAATCAGCAGCATATTCAACATAATCGGCATATTTAACATAATCAACATATTCAGCATAATTACCAGCATATTCAACATAATCAGCATATTAAACATAATTAGCATATTCAACCATATTCAGCATAATTAGCATATTCAACATAATCAGCATATAAAACATATTTATCGTACTCAACATAATCAGCATTTTAAAGCTCCGGTATACATTTGACAGGAAGGGTTCAAAATCCTTAGGAACTTGAAAAGTTGCCCCAAAACTGTGAGGCACACTCACAAACCCTAAACCCCACTGACAAATGTAGACTGCGGCTTTAAACATAATCAGCATATTCAGCTTAATCAGCATCTTCAACATAATCAGCATAGCCAACGTTAGGGCGTGTAAAATTGTAACGACCAAGCCGATTTTCCGCCCTTTGCGCGTTTCCGGCGACTGCGAATAGGTGTAACGCGTAAGCGATCCCCGCCACGAATTCCGCCAGCACGTGGGGCATCTGCCACAAACTACCTCCATAATTGAAAGCAAAAAGTTTTAGTCCTTTTACTGCATTCGAACGGGGTGTGGAATACAGGGGGATCGCAAGCCTAGACTAGGGTGTTTAACAAAGCAGTGAGTTTAGGCGAACAAAAAGATTTGCCCCTTGCTGAGGATACAAGTCTACGTAGGTCCCAAAATGCAGTGTGTCAAAAGTTTTATCAGAAAATACCATTGCAATTCGGTCAAACCGGGGTGACTACTCTGTGGGTGTAACCCTAAATACCTCGCAATCGCCAGAACCGCCCGAATGGTCGACCATTCCCTTTGGTCATTACAATTTTACACGCCCTTATCAGCATTTCTATAGCTGTGCAAAGTAGAAAATCTCACTTCCCACCCTCACCAACCGCAACATGCTATGTGTGTCCCATGCCTTGTAGTGCTCTAGTTAGTTTGATTCTGCGCCACAGATTCTTATCGACCAGTATTGACTCACATTGACCAGCATTGTCTCACATTGACCAGCATTGACTCACATTGGCCAGCATTGACTCACATTGACCAGCGTTGACTCACATTGACCAGCATTGCCTCACATTGACCAGCATTGACTCACATATTGTCTGTCCACGTACGTACTGTATTGTCCGTCCCCCTCCAGTCAGCTACAGTACAACTGGCTCTATGGCTCCATGCCAGCTGCCCTTCTGGCACTGCCTCGCCTCACAAGGCTGTGAGTCTCCTTCTCTCATTTCAGCAACCAAGTATCGTGCCTCTCAAATGTCCAGTCAGCTGCAGTACAACTGGCTCTACGGCTCCATACCAGCCGCCCTTCTGGCAGACTGGCACTGCCCCGCCCCGCCTCACAAAGCTGTGAGTCTTTTTCCTGTCAGCTACTGCTATTATGTGCCTCACCACCATGTGCCTCACCACCATGTGCCTCATCACCATGTGCCTCATCACCATGTGCCTCATCACCATGTGCCTCATCACCATGTGCCTCATCACCATGTGCCTCATCACCATGTGCCTCACCACCATGTGCCTCATCACCATGTGCCTCATCACCATGTGCCTCATCACCATGTGCCTCACCACCATGTGCCTCATCACCATGTGCCTCATCACCATGTGCCTCATCACCATGTGCCTCATCACCATGTGCCTCATCACCATGTGCCTCATCACCATGTGCCTCATCACCATGTGCCTCATCACCATGTGCCTCATCACCATGTGCCTCATCACCATGTGCCTCACCACCATGCGCCTCATCACCATGTGCCTCATCACCATGTGCCTCATCACCATGTGCCTCATCACCATGTGCCTCATCACCATGCCTCATCACCATGTGCCTCATCACCATGTGCCTCACCTTGCGCACCACATGGATTTGATGCTTTTGCACATATACCATGTCCACTTCTATGCACTGTACCTAACTCCTAATTTGTGTATCTTTCCTGCATTGTATATCACTCCCTCTGCCTTGTAGGAACCTGAACTTCAACTGTCTGACTGGCACTCTTCCAGCCATCTCCACTTCCTTGGCTTACCTGTCCATCGAGCAAAGTTATATCTATGGAAACTTCCCCTCCAATAAACTTACATATTGCAGTGCACTGTACAATTGTTTCACGCAAGCCAACAACTGCACATCAGCAGGCGGTTTTCAAAGAGACACATTGTCATGTGCAATATGTGGTTCGGTGGATGCTTCGGGAACGCTATGTTCGGGAACCGGGGTCTGCAAGCCGAATGCTGCTGATCCTGCAGCTACTGGGTTTGTTAATGGACCTGACTCCGATTTGTTGGATATGTTTTGCGATGTATCTTGATTGTTGTTGACCAATACCTTTTTGGGTTGCGGAGCAACCTATTGCAATCGACTGGAGGCTAGTTTTTTTTTTCCAGAAATTTTTATGTATTTTCCGGTTTTTTTTTAATAAAAAAATCTAGGACGAAGAAACAATCATTTTGCTGTGTAGCACATTCTATACAAAATAAATACGCCAAAACGGAATTTCGGTCCCACGATTCTTTAGTAAAGAATTTAAGAAATAAAATGACCGAGCAATCGAATAATAAATTTTGTTTTTTTTTTTTGTCGAGGCTCGTACTACTGTACCATGATGTCACCTCACTTTTAACGTAATCCATTGACATCCTTTAACAAGACTAAAATTGCAGAAATTTTGATAATCACACTTTCTGAAAAAACAAATCTACATAAGAAAGCAATGTTGATAAGGTATCTATGATGATCGTGTAAAACGATCATTACATACCGTACTATTGAATTTTGGCGTAAAGTACGCTACTGAAATATATTCATCGATAAAATCGGTGAACATATTTCATGGAACCCTAAATCAGCAGTTTGTGTAACGTTTGCCGGAAATATATACTACCGTTTCCCCAGCCTAGCATGGGGGGGAATCGAGTAGTATATACGTTGAGAAAAAACATGAAGCAATACAAGCTGCGAATCTCAAAGTAATGACTACGCCGATCAAGTCCAGCTCAGAAATGGCTTCACTGTCATAGTGGTGGAGCACTGAACCTTGTTTGACGATGATCGGCAAGTCATCTCTTTGTGACGCGCAGACATGCATTACTAACACAATCATAAGCACCAAGTGAAAAACCTGTACTATAAGAAGTCATGCTAGCAATTTAAAAATGTATAGAAGAATAGTGTTAAGGTCGCGTATGACTAAAGAAACATTGCAGTAGAAGTTGCCATCTTGCAAAACCTGCAATACAAACGCGTGAACATAAACAGTTAGCATACAAAGATGTGAGTTTTTTTAACTAGCGCTTTAACTTCAACAAATGTACATTGTAGTAATGCGTAATACAAGGATAGAATGAGGGAGGGACAAAAGGGAGAAAAGAAAAAACATGTAATAAAAACAGATGAAGAGGAAAAGTAAAGTCATCTCAAATGCGTGAATGATATAAACTAAATGTATAGTTCTTACATCGAAACCAATAACACTTTACTCGACGACCTGCGGGCAATAATGCATATAGGTAAAAAATATCAAACGGTTGGAAGTCAATGGGTCAGTTCCAGAAACATTAGTCTCTGAATTTATGGAATGACAACAATAGTCTCGTCGGCATCAACATATAAGATTCAATATATAAATGCACAATGAGAATCAAACACTTACATCGAACGTTCTCTTAGAAGAAATGCAAGGATCTAAGGTTGAAGATGCTCGAATGCTCATGATGTCCACAATGTTCTTAATTATCCGCAAACCCTCATATCGGAAGTGTATCTGCCACACGCATAAAATAAAGGAAAAAAAAGCAAGGAGGACAAAAACTCCAATGTCATGTTACTCTTGGTGGAAAAACATCAATGTATTGAATGGTGTGTAAGATGTTAGTCAAGTATTAATGTATGAAAGTTGAATCATATTTGAGATTGAAAACTCACCTTCACACGCCAAACACAACACAATGCATACAACAAGCGCCTTCGTTCGTCGTCAGTGGAAGATAGAAAATCAGCAATCTGGAAATTTGGAATTATCTTCGCCATATGTCTCGGCTCCAATACCATGTTGTGCGACCGGCTCTTGAAGGTTCCTTCAAAGAAAATAAAAACGCAGAAATGTGGTCACAAGATCATGCCATTGACGTATCGTTGTACATAGTCAAATAATATTGTAATAGAACAGTATCTAAAGTATAGGCTTACCACTCTCGGTCACGGCAAGAGTGATGGTGATGTTGTCGTTCTTCGAAATTGAAGCAGATTTGTGCTTGACACACTCATCCATCTCTGTGGCCATTGATGTGTAGACAGGCATGCCACAAATCACATCCCCACACTTGACGGTACATATTGTCCGGCTGTTGTGCCGTGGGTCTTGAATTTCCGCATCAAATGAGGCAATCCACTCCTTCTTTGTGGTGTGAACGAGTACGTCGACATGGGTCATTCTGGACGCAAAATGACATAATATTGTAAGAACCATGTAAACACGATACAAGGTAATCATCATAATCACGTTTACTCACAGTTCGACGACGCCCACGTCAATGACTTCGTCGCATGGAGGAACTGAGAAACTGAACGAGAATGAATGACTAAGGGAAAGTTGGGTACAAATGTAAACCCTAGAAAACTGTACCCCATATGTGCTACCCCACTATAGCCTACAGTAGCTATGTCATATAAATCTGACACACCCCCATAGGCAAAGTGGGGGAGAACAAGGGGTCACAAGACCAGTCAAGCAAAGCAAAGCAAGCTCAGGGTGGATCACAAAGTCACCACACATTCCGAGCACAAGTTCAAGGCCACAAGGCCAGTTCACATGCAGGATTACATATATATATAAGGCTAGACAAGCAAGAGCAGGTGTGTATATATATGCAACAGTACAAACAAGGTCAAGGGGTGAGCAAGTGAGGCAAGGTAGGCACAAGACCCAGCTGAGTACAGAAGCGCTGATGATCACAAGGCGCAAGTGCCTTGGTGAAGATATCAGCAGTGTTGGCCTGAGAGGCCACGTACGCAAGCCGCAGCTGACCACGCTGCTGTAGCTCACGAGCAAGGAAGTAGCGGAGAGCAATGTGCTTCGTTCTGTGCTCCAGTCTCTGCTCTCGACACAAGGCCAGCATGGCCTTGTTGTCTACGTACAGCACTGGAGGAGAACGAGGCGGCTCTCCGAGGTCAGTCAGCAGGTAGGTGAGCCAGCGAAGCTCCTGTGCAGCCATGGCCCCGGCGTAGATCTCAGCCTCACAACTGGAGCCGAGAACAGAAGACGAGTGGGTAGCCCGCCACGAAACAGAGCCGGAACCAAGGCTGAAGGTGTAACCCTGTGACGACCGCTGCGTAGCCTGGTCGTCAGCCCAAGAAGCGTCTGCGTGCCCAGTGAGGACCACTGGACTCTGCCCTCCAAGCACAAGCCCCATGCCCGACGTACTGCACAAGTAACGCAACACCCTCTTCGCTGCAGCCAAGTGCTCCGGTCTGTGTCTCCCAGGAGCAACATAGCGTGCGAGAATGCTAAGAGGGTATGCGAGGTCAGGTCGTGTGCAGGTCATCAGGTACATGAGGCAGCCAACAAGCTCTGGGTACGGGCCACTCGACTCTACGGACTCATCCGAAGGCAGAGCTGAGAGCGAGTGGCGAGTAGGCAGAGGAGTGGCCTGAGGCGAGGAGTACGTGAAGCCGAAGCGCTGAAGGACCTGCTGCACCATGTGTGACTGAGTCAGGGTAATGGTGCGGCGTGCTCTGTCCCGGGTGATCTGCAAGCCAAAGTAGCTGCGCAGTTCACCCAGGTCTGTGCACGTGTGTCTCTTCTGCAGCTCGGACTTCACGTGGGCGAGTCCAGCAGTGTCAGCTGTGGCAAAGACCAAGTCGTCGACGTACACGAGGATGTAGAACGGCGGCAAAGAAGTGTCGGTGCGCAGAAACAGCGACGGGTCGGCAGTAGAGGGAGCAAACCCAAGAGCCGCAAGTGTAGTCCTCAGTGTGTCGTGCCACTCACGCGGTGCCTGGCGGAGACCGTAGACTGGCCGCCGGAGGCTCCACTGGGTGCCAGGAGGAAAAGACCCAGTGAAGCCAGGTGGGCGACGCAACCAGATCTCCTCGTGCAGGCTGCCCTGCAAGAAAGCAGTGCTGAAGTCAAGAGAGTGCAGCTCGTAGTCGCGGTGAGCAGCTATGTGCAGCAGTACCCGAAGAGTGGTCATCTTCGGGGTGGGAGAGAAGGTTTGAAAGTAGTCAACTCCCTGTCGCTGACTGAAGCCACGAGCCACGTAACGCGCCTTGAAGACAGGCGGAGAACCCGGCGGCCGCTTCACCTTGAAGATCCACATGCCACTGACGATGTTCGCCCCAGGCGGGGGAACCTCGTCAACGTAGGTGCCTGTGGACTTCCAGGAAGCCATCTCTGTGTCCATAGCTGCCTGCCACTGAGAGGAGTAGGGACCCTCTATCGCCTCCGCGTAAGAGCGCGGAGTCGGGATGTCAAGTGCATCCGGGTCTCCCTCAGGGGTAAGCAGTACGGACACGAGATGAGGTGAAGAAGCAGCCAAACACTGGAACTCCTCCTGCCTGTCCTCAAGGACGTCCGTGCCAAGGGCACACTCACCCCCGACGGACGGAGGACAGACAGACTCAGACTCAGCGACAAGACAAGCAGCGTAGTCTAGACGACAGCGAGCAGCAAAGTCGACGAGCTCAGCAACTAGGGCAGACGCAGCAGTGGACGCAAAGGAAGGGTCAGTGACGACAGTAGCAAGGAGACGCGTGACAGTAGGACTGGCAGCACGAAGAGAGTCCGACTTCGGGTCGGGAAGAGCAGGAAGAGAGGACTCAGGAGGAGAAGGCAAAGGGGCACGCAGAGGAGCAGTGGACGGACGCAGAGACATCCGGTGCGTGCCAGGGACAGGAGGAGGACGCTGACGCGAACCACGACCACTAGCGCAAGCAGTACGGACAGGCGACGCAGGACGCGACGCAGGCTCACGACGCTCAGCAAGACCTCCAGTAGGACCAGTGTAGGGAGAAGGAGCAGGCAGTGGGGAGGCCGGCTGTAACTGTAACTGTGACAGGACAGGCTGTGGACACTCTAAGGGAGGAGGAGGACCAGTAGAAGGCGGGAGACCAAGAACCTGCTGAAGGAGCGGAACGAAGTACGGCCGAGGCCGCGCGGCGACTCCAGACACAGCAGGGACAGCACCAGTACCCCCAGCGGCAGCACCAGCGCCAGCAGCACCTCCAGCTCCAGTACCTCCAGCAGCACCAGTAGCACCCCCAGCAGGACCGCCTCCAGGACCGACAGCAGTAGCCTCAGCGTCAACACCCTCAGCAGCTCCAGCTCCAGTCGTACCCATAGGCCCAGCAGCTCCAGTACTCCCAGTACGAGCACCTCCGGGACCCGCGGCACCAGCACCCTCAGTAGCCGAAGAACCTTTAGCACCAGCAGCACGCCTCCAGCGCCGGGCAAACCACTCGCGCAGCTCCTGTGGAGAGAGTGGCTCCCGCCGAGATGAAGCACCCGGAGAACCTCCAGGCTCAGCACCGCCAGACGCCACACGAGCAGGCCCAGCTCCCTCAGGCTCCGCACCCCCAGGCTCAGCACCTCCAGGCGTAGCACCCCCAGGCTCAGCACCCCCAGGCTCAGCACCCCCAGTAG